TTGGGGTTAGGTATACCAAATAATTACTTACTGCTATATAAAATGGTGATAAAATTTGTAGACAGTAGGGAAGTACTGGTGATTTTTTAGTATTCTTTATTAGGACTTTGTAAATTCCAGACAAACAGAAATTTCTTCGCGATCCGATCCCTAGAGTTCCAGTGGGATCCGTGACCAGTGGAGTTCAACTATATTGGTTATGAAAATGATAAACACCACTGGCTATAGATGAAGGTTGAGAAATATCAGAAATTAATTGAAGCTAGATTAACACCGGTTAGGTGGCCTTTGTTTATTTAAACACATAAACATTAGTATAAGGAGGCACCAAATATGTATACGCCACAATTCATCATTCGATTTGTGTGAGGACTGGGATACTACCTGGGTACCAAAACCGAAACAGGGGGTTTTCTTAGGAAGACACACCAGGAGCCTTTAATTTACAGGTCTAATCCATAAGGCAGTGGAGCAACATCAGGAGATGCAGTACCATGGTAGCCGGTGACCAACAATAAATTCATACGCCTTTTGTTCGCTCAGGATCCTGGAGTCATGGGCTTGGAATCAAGGTTTTTCAACTCCCCTAGGTGGATGCTCTATATCCACTGACCCCGTCAAAGCACCGGACATTTGGTTTTTATCCTCTCAATTTCGTAAACAACACCCTCGCCTCGGGAAGGTAGTGAGTAAGACTTCCTTGGTAGTGGCTGTATAAGCGTGACCATGTGAGAGATGACTCTCCCCACACTCCACCATACCAGGGCATTTAGGGGCACTAGATGGCCTTGTGTTTAAGCGTTCCAGCGCGAGAGCGAAGGACCTTGGCTTTGATCTCCTGTAGTGTGTTCTCCGGTGCGCACTATTGACTTGCCTTATATTGGGATGAAACAGTTGCCTAATGCTTCCAGGTGTTCAACTGTGGTTTTACTAAATCAGTTCGCAACTCAAACTATGAAAGCTTTATGTATTGTCGCTTCAAATTAGTGTTCGTAATTTTTATTCAAGACCATATTTGATGTCTTTGTTGTTTGTCCATTCTAAGTGGGTTCCCTTGATATCATCGTTTAGTTACACGTTTGCGCAAGTTACATTTTGACTTCAGTTATGTAAGGATAAAGAAATAATTAAGAGTGATAGAGCATTAGTAAATTGTTTTGATCTACTAAATACGATGTTAGGTTAATTGTTTAATTATATTTATTGTCAAGGAAATAAGAACTATTGTACAAATTTTCCTTGAATATGGATGAATAGTTGGTCTAAACAAATTTATATGAATGAGTGTAATTCAGTACCGTACACATATATGTCAGTTAAATGATAAACTGATATGGTATGCTATAAACAACTCTAAACTCTACTTAAATCAACCATGATTTTCACCTACTGAATGAAGCAGACTATTCATCATCTTTGAATTAGTATCCTTCATTTACATTCATACACTTATTTATTAGGTATTTTTATTAAACGAAATCTCAGTATTTAATAAAAATTTATTATTTGATTTAGTGCAAACCACTGATACTATTAAGAAATTCTGTATAGACTTTCGTTCAAAATGTAATATTCAGTTCTATAGCGGACTGAAGAGTGGGTAAACATCAGTGTAGTTCAAAAAGTAGAAATTGTTAGCCTGATAAAAATTTATTCTATATCCTTATGTTTTTTATGTTCCATAAGTGATGGCATGATGGAGCATCATAAACATTTTATTCACGAAATTATGATGGTTAGTTAAACTTCATTAAGAATACTGATATGTTCCATATCATTTAGTGACCTTTTTCACATATAACTTACAAAAATGCCTGAATTACACCAGAACCTGATCTTATTGTGCTATAATCACCACTTTTCTACAACATAATCTTGAGAGATAGCTACGGAAGTTGAAGGGTATAGAAAGAAGACTAACAGTATTCAACTGTAAGTCTGCTATATCTTCATCTTCTGTTACATTTATTGGGAAATGAGGAACCGCTACAATTCAAACGACACGAAAGAATGGTACAAGTGGCAGTAATGAGACTATATATTTCTAAATGAACCAATGAAATTAAAGATAGCAGGTCTTGGGTTTCGGTGTGATGTTCACGCATCTATGTAGTCAAATAGTATTTTGGCATTATAGCTAATGTCAGTTCATGATGAAAAGTTTAATTCCTAACCCCGACTTCTACCTCTCAATCTTAATTCTTCACACTCAATCACCTTGGCGTCACTCATAAAGTATAAACTTGTAGTGAAAATTTATTCCCTCCAAAAAATAACGACAACCGTAGTCGAAAATGCACTATGCTATATATTGATGTATACACCGATTTAATTATTAATTAGCAAAATATTACATGTATGAAATTATAAAGAAAACTGTACTCTACATGTTATACTGAGTATAGTTCATGTTAATTAAAAATCGGAACAAGTATTCATTTAGAAAACTTATCAGGATTAGTTTTTGTGTTTTGATTCTTTCAATTTTTTAAGAAATAGATTAATGATGTGTATTGACCTACTTTTATCAAGAGAACGCGATTGGTGTAATGGAAACAATTATTATTATAACCAATTGTACCAGTGATTGTTTTACTGTACTTCCTTGTTTATCTGTATTAAAGACATTCTTCCTTCTTTTTGATTGTGACCTTGCTTGAATTCGGTTACGCTCAGTAACCACACTTATAATGTGGCACGATCTCGGTCTTATTTCGATGCCACGAGATCGCCAAAATATACATCTCGACTACAGCCATCAACTGCCTTCTGATATTTGGCTTGCGAAGGATCTTATCGGTTAACTGGCACGTAGTCTTCCTATTGTGGTGATCATAGTCAACCGCGACTCAACGCCACACTACAGATGCATTTATGAAGTTGTAAAGAGAATAATGTCTATCATATAACTACGTAGTTACTCTTGAATTATTGAGAAAGATTACGTTAGTTTCATGATAACACAAGGTAAACCAGAATGATAAATTTAATTCAGAAGAATATTTTTAAAAAATGTTCATTAAACGTTTATTTAAAATGTATGATCCATTATTGCATAATGATTAAAGAAGTAAATAATAATTAAAACTGTTAAAGTGTGAATGTAAGGCAAGCTAGTTGTTGAAACTGGAAATTTCGAATAAACCATAAACATAGTTATCTTATTCTATTCTTGGGACCTTAGTTTTTTCTTTATTATACTTGTAGTGAACAAGAACACCAGTGGAGACAATCAAGTGTATTCATTCTCCTCCCCACGTATATGTGCACTCAAATCCTATTGTTAGCCTTCGCTTTTCCTTTCTGTGCCCTTATGCAATTCGACTATAAATTGGCCTATGTATTCGCTCACTCGTACACATATTTGCCTCTGCTTCAAATTTGCTTGATGTGCTCATAGCTTTGTGATCTGTGCAATCCGTTAATAAACCATAGTTGCTGTTTCTTAATGCTTTCTAATTTGAAACACCGTTGAAATTTATATAATAACAGGACTGATTGATTGACAAAGTGTAGTGTCGGTTATTATGTTGAGCCCATATACCTTATTTTAGCTTTCGGACAGCCCAGTCTATTCATTCTACTTGGGTCACATTCTGACCTTGTTACTTATTCGCTTATCAATCTTGACTGTTTTTATATGAGAACGTAGGTGTGTGTACATTTCTTGTCCCATTACTCATCACATGTCTGTAATTTACTTTTGTGTAACTATAAATATTGATTAACGCTTGGTTAAATGGGAGTTGGCTTACTCGCCATCTCCACTGACCGTCGTTTTGCTTCATTCTATTTCATTCACTTGATATACAAAATGTATGTATTCAAAAGTCCGTTCTCGTTATTTGACTTATTTAATTTAACGCGATTTAAGTCGATGATTATATACGAGGATAGGCGATATATATATATTTCGATAACAAACAAACATGCGATATAATTGGAGTCAGATCACAGGCCACTAAAGTGGAGAGCCCTTTCGACAACATCGTTCGATCTAAACAACGACAAAAAAAGCAAAGCCACTAAAAACAGATACATTTTTCTATTGAGTTAAATGTTTTCATCCTTTCATGTATTCACTAATTATTCATTTAAAATGACAATAATTCTAAAATAATGAGTTCTAAAAGTTTATCTGTAGTAATTCTATCATTTATATATTAAGAAAGCAAATTCACGCATAGAATTAGTCATTTTTATTGAACTATACTCAAGTAAAAATTTCACCTTCAATGGTCATAAATCATTTAAATACTAACTTGAAACCTTGAATCAATAAATTTACTCTAAAATAATAGAATTCTGTTTCAGTTTATTACATAATGTATATTGTCAAAATACATTCTAACACATTTTTGATTTAGTTTGTTTAAATGTACACTAATTTAATGTACGCTAATTTAATATTAAGTGCATAAAATTGTGTAAATCAGTAATTTTAATTTCATTGGTTAATCGTTTCAACCAATCAACTAACAGAATTACTTAGAACTATATATATATATATATCGTCATTTACAATATTATAAATTCTGTATATTTGAGAATGTCTATCGAAATGAGAAAGTTTACAAAACTGATTGACAATTATGGTAGAATTCATGATTATTTACGTATATCATTAACGGGAAAATGTAATTTAAATTGTAAGTTCAAATAAATTGGCATTTACTACTTATTTTTTTTTTAAAAAAAAACAAAACCCAATTAGGTTCATATTGTATGCCAAATAAATCATTTCAAAATAATCAAATCATATTATCCAATATAATAACATCTAATGAAATATTATTTCTTGCTAATTATTTTTGTTATCGTGGTTTAAGAAAAATTCGTTTAACCGGTGGTGAACCATTATTACGATCCGATCTACAACAAATTATAAGTTTGAAATAAATTACAATTGTATATTTACTACCCTTTTTTTTGTTTAAAAAATAATAAAAGAAGATTTAAATGAATTAAAATGTCAACATAAACATTTCAATGAAATAGCAATGACTACAAATGGAGTGAAATTTAAGAAATATGCTGAAAATTTATTATTAGCTGGATTAAATTCAGTGAATATCAGTTTAGATAGTTTAAAATCAGAAAGAATTTTAAAATTAACAGGACAATCTACATTTAAACATTCAATGGCAGCTATAATTAAAGCGATTGAAGTGGGATTTAAAAGTGTCAAGGTATGTAATTATTTTATTTTGTTTTTTTTAAATTTTATTCGAGTGAGTTTTCATCATGGAATGTGATATGGTTCGGAGAACCATAGACCATAGTATGATAAATTTCATACTGAATTAGTCTGTCTTCGAAATATCATATTGAACATATCTCGATCATTGTATCTATGTGTGATGATGATGATAATAATAATAATAATAATAATAGACATATTCGGTGCAATATGCTTGAATACAATAGAGAATTTTTAGCCAATATTTTAAAGTAGTGTAACAAAGCCTTAATCAAGGTTTTCTACCGATTACCTTCAACTACCTGGTGTTATAAGCTTTCCATAAAAGTACATAAGGAATTAATTCAATGGTTACAGCATTAGAATAATTTAGAACTAAGTAATTTGTATGTCAATGTGATGCGTATTTTTTCATACTCCATCTTCCATAAACAGTTATCCATTTTATTAGGAAGTGTTTTTTTACTCCGCATCACCTAGGGTTAACTACTATCACAAGATTTCTTAAACGGTGAGATAAAAAGAATAAAATGTGAACTTGTTTCAGTTCATTGGTTTTACGCACTTACTTAGGACCGTTACTTTTCGGGGAGTAAAAGCCACCAACTAGGGATCTTCAACCAACTCTGTCCGGGGCTCTCCTTTCCAGCTGCTTTTAACTGTTATTCATTCTCTTGATGTCTGTCTCCAAATCCTGACTCAGTGTGTTCTTAGGTATACTTTTCTCTTCACATTCAGGATTCCAAGTTAGGGCTTGTCTCGTGATTTATTGTGATGCTTTGCGCAATGTATATCTTATCCACCTGTAGAATCTTTCCATAATTTCCCATTTAGCTGGAAGTTGGTTTGTTCCCTTCCCCAGTAGGTTGTTGATGATGATATTCGGTTAACGGACATTTAGTATCTTGCGCAGAGAACTGTTTATAGATGCCAGTACTATTTGATGATGGTTATAGTAGTTCTCCACGCTTGAGCTCTGTACAATAGAACTATCTTAATGTTTATATTGAGAATTTTGATGCTAATCAGAACGGTTTACTTAGAATCAATGATTGAAATATACATAGAATAAATTACATGAGAATTATAATTTGATTGATGAACATAGGCCAATCTGAAAATATTGACGAAGTTTGAGATGAATAAAATAACTAGTTAGTGTCGAAGTGTGTTAGGTTCAAAATTAACTCTTGAGTTCATGTTTATTTAGAAATAATTGGAAATAATATCTTTGAATTCTCGATTTGGTACACTATAAACGTATTATTAATGTCATTATTAACAATGATATTATCAGCTATTAACACAAAAAACAATTTTACTGAATGCTATGCATGAATCACTGGGTAGTTTTAAAGGACGAAACAACCAGACTGGATTATTTTTTAGTATGATGTAAGGAAGAATTTATACTAAACGTGAGATAAAAAAGATCAAGCAATGATGTTTATTGAATAATTAACTGTACATAGGAAGAACCAACAACATTGAGATTAAGAAAATGGGCTAAGGATTCTAAAGAATTACAGTATAAATAAAGAATAATTATAGTTCTTTGTTAATTTAAATGATTGTTTGCTATTGTTATAATTCTCTATGTAGATTATCATTCAGCAGTTGTATAATTGAAATCATATTATGTTCAGAATAGCTTAATCCAATGAGATGCATAGTGTTTAATTGTATTATACACATTGCATTATACTCATTTCGTCTTGCATTAGACTTATCATTTGGATGTAGCTACACCCCGGTGATGATATTCACACACCGATGGGATCCGTTTATTTTCACGTCAAATGCCCTACGCATTGTCCATTGAATTGCTAATTCCAAATAACCACTAACTTGTTTAACATGTATGATATTTGTACTATTATGAGAAAATTCAGTAACTCAGTAAGCAATGTTTTAGGTATTTGACACGAAAGAAACTGGGTTCAAGTTCCGTTGCGAACATCAACTCCATGATGCAGGCATTCCAGCTGACGAGTCCCAAATAGGACGAAACTCGCGTACAGGGTTTCACTGCTATCCACCATCCATCTCTGCTTATAATCCATGTGACTTGAGGCAATATCGAAGTAATCCGCACAGGATGCACATATGTCAATAAGAAACTGATCACTCGCAGTGCTAAATATCAATGGGAAGAATCAAACTATCAATACAAAGATGAATTATTTTTGATTATGTTTAAATTATTTGTTGCACTAAAAAAGGTATACTGAGATCGAGAAAAAAGGTCATGTTCTGAGTAAAATAAACGGTTCATAATCGAATTCAATCGTTTGTTTACTATGAAGAAGTGATATGCCATAAGTTACGAAACGTCAGAAATACTCATTGGGATATCATAAGTATATCATTGTTTTATTATTAAAGTTCAATTCAATGTTCAATTTATTTGAAATTATCATGTCCACCCGTGGTAATAATACTTACATAGTTCATGAGATTGTTTCCAAATTCATTCAAAAACAGAATAAAGCCTGACTCTCACATCAATTAAACATCAGAACAGTGAACAAGCGTTGTAAAACACAAGTACATTTCCTTATTTTAACATGCTCTAAAATTATAGCTCCAATGTTTTATTTAATTTTATTTAATAATTAATCGAGTACTCCCTAACTTTCATTGGTTGTCTAATCGGTGTGAGATTACCCTCAAATGATACAAAGTCTGCCCAAAACCACCAAGCATTTCTTTAGCTTTTTTGGTTGAGATCATGAAGTGATTGATGTTAGACCACCATTGGAAACCTGGAAGCACTGGACGGCCGTTTCGTCTTATTGTGGGACTCCTCAGCAGTGCGCGTCCAGGTTTTCAATGGTGGTCTAACATCAATCGTTTCATGATCTCAACCAAAAAACTTATTAATCTCCACAACCCTATACTGATAATTTCTTTATCTGTATTATTTGTAGGTTAATTGTGTAGTTATAAAAAATTTCAATGAAGATGAATTATGCGATTTTGTTGAACTGACACGGTATTTAGTAAGTGTATGTTTGAGTAGATAAAATTTCATTTCATTTCTCAGAATAGTTTAATTGGATGGTTTGTAAAAACTATTATTTTCATTAATTTGTAATTTTATCACAAACTTGTATGCAGAGATAAAATGGTGCCTAGCAAAAATGCCCAGGACGAGCTTATCATCCTGTGTGGACATATCAGCTTGATGTGCCTGGACTACATAATTGGTGTTCATTCCATGACTTGATCCCTGTACCACTCGTTTCAAATGTCATCGCTTTATCTACTTAGTTACTGAGTTTAGATGGACGCTGGCTTGTTCAATGGGATGAAGTTTAATTGATTTATATTGGTTGTTTGAATCTTCCCATTGATGTTTCGCACTGCGATTGATCAGTTTCTTATTGGCATGTGTGCATCCTGTGAGGATTGTTTCGATATTGCCTCAAGTTATAAACATTATAGGTGGAAATGGATGGTGACTAGGAGTGAAATCCTTGTGACTTAAGTGAAGATAGAAGGAATCTGCACAGGATGCCAATAAGAGATTGAACAATTGCAGTTGTAAACGTCAATGGGAAGTCTCAAACAGCTGATGCGAAGTATTTTATTTCTTTGGTATTCTGTAGATCAAGCTCGTTGTTTTAATTATTCAATATTTTGATTTTTTCTTAAAGAACAGTTGTCGACGACATAAACATTTCAAATCGTCACTATATTTATCAATGAAATGATCCACCAGTGGTTACATTCAATTTTTCATTGCAAATTTTGCATATATTTAAGTATGTAATAAATAATTAGCAATGCAAATTATGCAACTGAATAGAAATCAGTCTTAGGTTATTTATCAAGAAATAAAGTAGGTTTCAAACAAACAAATAATTTATTCTGAAAATCATTATAGAATTCATACCGATTTACAGTCATGATCAGGTTGATACAGATAGTAATTAAAGGAGAGATATGTAGCTTAAAATTGTTTATAAGTATGTAATTCGAGATTGTTTTGATAATATATTTGTTACATGGAATTACAATAATATGCGGGATCATTTGAAAATTACTGATTTTTTGTAGGGGTACTGGAATATCCTATTGATGTATGAACAGTGTAGTCAAGGTTGGTTCCAGTATCATTACAGAGTTATTATAGTCGTCTACAACTATAAAAAGGCAACATAGAGAACACAGAAAAACAACAGTAAACACTTATCTGATAGATTTGCCATTATGCATATGCTGAGTTGTTACATGATCTATTGATTGGGTTAGATAGTATTTAAGTCAGTTAAGTTTACCAAGGACGGTGTAAGTGTAAAATGTCTTCATAAAAATGTTAAGTGAGTGCGCTCAGTCATAACAGCCATAGAACATTTAATTTTTTTCTAGTTTCATTTGTGGGATGGGATATATTTAAAAGTGTAAAAATATTTAAGGCAGTGTGAGAGGTGAGCTAAACATTACTACAATAAACGAATGTTGAGAGTGATTCAATTTCAAGGACATGTTTCAGCAAATTATTCCAGAGTATAAAAAATCTACTACTAAGATAATTCATATAGAAAGAAAATTTAGGATAAAGCAGTTTCACTAATGGTAATGAATTGTGAGTGCTATAACTGGATGTTTCATCCTGTTGAATTCTAGCGCTGAACGTGAAAGTTAGTTTATTAAACATTATGAAGAAATATTAAGTGCAGTGTAAATTTCCTTTTCTATAAAGGGTCGAGTGTTAGTTTGTTTGATCTAGATATATGGTTTAAGGCACAGTCATTTCCCAAAAATGCGAAGTGTGAGTCACTGATGAGCAGATCCCAGTCATTTTGTGCCTTATACAAACACTGCTAGGAATAAAGTCACATTATACAAAAGGTGTTCGAATGTATACTTTGTAAATTAAAATACGTGAATCATTGCTTTAACCCAGAAGTCACCAGGTCTTGGAAGTCTATTTGAAAAAGACTTTTGGAAAAGACAAGGCTTGAGAATGCTTGAGTTCTAAGTCAATCACTGCGTGAAACCTACATAATACTGTACCATTTACAGACAAGTTAAGATTAAGAAAAAGGTAGCTAAAACAAATCCATCCACCACGCTGCTTTAAGATCATCCGCATCTAGAAGAGGCTTGTCCATACAAAAGCGGTTGCAAACGTCATTTGTAAAAGCTAAAAAGAGCAAAGGACCAAAATACTACTTTTTGTTATCCCACTTCTGACTGGGGTGGTATCCGATAAGGAGTTTCTTTTAATTATTTGGTGACGGTGAATGAGAAAAGAATTAAGCCACTCAAGCACGCAATTTCCGATCCCTTAAGATGAGAGTTTGTCTGTAAGAATCCTGTAGTTAGTCATATCGAAAGTTCCAGGAATGTCAAATTTTAGCACTAAAACTTAATGTTGTAGAATATTCTAAACTCCTTTAAATCTTAAATTTTCATATTATTTCATGCTTTTCATACTGCGAATTCATTCATTTCGTTAAAATGAATTTTCTCTTCTCACTAGTGACTAGCTTTATAAGAGAATTCTCGGAGTTCTAGTGAGAAACCATGACCAGTGAAGCTAATCAGTGTTAGGTAGAGATCGGTATCTACCTCAGTACAATGAAAGATGTTCGCGCGATTTTGCTGATTGGTTTAGATTAGACATTAACACCGTTGGATGCCGACTCAGTGGTTTAAAGGCTAAGCATTCGCTCGCCAGACTGAAAGCCCGTGAACGAGATCGTGCATACGCACTGCTAAGGAGACCCACAATAAGACGAAATGGCCGTCCAGTGCTTCCAGGTTTTCAATGGTGGTCTAACATCAATCGATTTATGATCTCAATCAAAAAAGTTTCTGTTTAGTATAATATCATTGTAAATAAATTTGTGCAGACTCATTGGGCTTTCCTTGTTGATGGGAAGAGTGAACATTTAGGCCGATCCGTATTTCTATCATGTCTTATGATGTTTATAATTAATGTTTATAAATATATATATATATATATATACTTTTTTCATCATTCTTATTATTTCAGCCTATTGAAGTACGATTCATTGAATATATGCCATTTTCTGGTAACAATTGGGAACTATCAAAATTATTCTCATATAAACAAATGTTAAATATTATACAAAATTCTTATCCAAATTTAATTTGTTTAAATGAAAAATCATTTGATGTAACAAAAGTAAGCATAATATAAAATACTTTTGTTTAACATATAAAACTATTTTAATAATATGACCCTCATTTAGTTCGAGTTAGTAGGTGGACATTCTCACGGTCACTTTACTATTTCATCCACACATTCGATATTTCATGGCATATAGTGTTATAATGAACTTGTGGTGAACCAAAAATTCATGTGTTAATATATTAAACACAAATTATTACACACAAGAAAAATATACAGGATGTTACTTAAATTGTCAGGGATTGACGTATTCAAGTTTCTTTTGATCTGGTAATCCACAATTATACTTAGCGTTACCCCCTCAATGGAGCCTAGGCCGCCGACCAGTATTCTCCGCCTGATGCCCCTCTAAGGCTACTGCTGTTCCCAAGCCCGGTCAAAGGAAGAGGGTTGAGCATGGGGTTAGCGGCCCCATCCTGTGGAAAACTAACTTGCTAAAAATGCTAACCAGAAAAAATAATTCAATCCACAATTATGAGTAGTTAATAATTCCAATTGTAATTGTTATAGTTCGAGGTGTATATCCAGATAAAGTATATAATGAGAATATCACTGTGATCTGTAAACGTAAATAGCAAATGTATTGAAGTTCTGATATCATAACGGCGGGTAATTGAGAACAAGAAGCATATGTGTATAGCAGTTTATTTGTGAGCGATAATCAGTGTGTCATGTTATGGGGGATTCAAAAACGAAACGGGAAAAAACTGTGCAGATGATGAATATCTCGAACTCTACGCATCCGATAAGCAAAGTAAGTGGTTTACTTAGTCAACCAGCAATTCAAATGACACAATCTCTAATATGACACATTCAGCGAAGCCAGTAAAGCAGCGATATGGACATGCTCAATTCGTATTATCTTATCGGTAATTTGTCTTCGTGTCAACACTAGTCACTCATCTGTTTGGCAGATCATTCCATTATGATTATAATAATTACCATATTCTTATTATCACAATAATGTGATATCATCACCTAACGTGGAATTATTATTGCTGTTTGTGTTGATATTAAATTATGACATTTACGCAGTTATATTACTCACCCATAAAATTATAATTTTATGAACATTCTGTTCTCACATTTGACTTATTTAATTCCTTTATTCACTAACTCGAGTTAAGTAGATGATTATATACGAGAGTAGCCGGGATGTATATTTCAATAACAGTCATTCATACGGTCGGCGAGACTATAATTTATGAACGAACTGATCAGATTTAGGATAACAGGTGTTGGATTTTCACCCATATACTTGTTTAAATAGTGTTTCGGCATTTTAGCTGATATCAGTTCTTGATAAAAACCCTAAATCTAGTTCCTGGCCTTAATTATCAAACGTAAATTATAGTTATAATTCCTCACACAGATTTATAACCCTCATTTAGTTCTAGTTAGTAGGTGGACATTTTCAAGGTCACTTTAGCGTTGCTCAAAGGTCGTCCATAAATTACAGTCTAACCATACGATCCAATTGAATTCAGATGAAGGGCTACTAAACACTATACACCATTAACTCTGATGAATAATCGATTATTTGATTACAAGAAAATGTATATACTATATTTTTGGATTACTTTACATAATCAGTAGATTTGTGAGGTCTTAAAGAAAGATTATGAGCTTAAGGAATAAATCATTGGGATAAAATGCGATCATAAAGAGGTGTTATTTCTTTTATTTATGTATATAGTAAGCTTAAAACTTGAATAAGAAAATAAAAAGTGGAACAGATTGATCTAGCGCTTGTTTAATAATTCATAAGCTCACTTCTATTTGAAGTGAACTTTGATAATGCTGTTCAGATTGAAGATGAACGCTTCATTAATAAATCATCCAGCTTTAAAAACTCAATATCACACAAAGGTATATGTTTTCAAAATGATCTAAAATATGGGGTGATATTCACTGGATTGTAAATTCATAAAAGTCAGCTCAAGTAAACTATCTAGTTCAAAAGACTTAACTTCACTGAAGGTTTTCACTGTAACTAGAAATCTTCTCCATCACTATCAATAGCATTGAACATAGATCGAATAGAGTACCGTATTATTATGTATAAAGATAATCCGTCATGATAATGAGTAGTAGATTTTATGCTCCCAACTCAAATAATTTTTTGCATCCTACAAGTAAATGATCTTTAAAATCAGAATTTATATTTATGTCGGAAGATGAAGTGAATAAAAGACATTGAAAACATTAAGAACAATTCATTCTCGTGTTTACTTATTAATAGTTCAACAAGAATCATATGAATACGTTAATAGGTATAAAACATTGCATTCATTATAGTTTATTATATAAATAGTCTATTTAATCGTAACAGTTTAATTATCAAATAATAGTTTTTATTATCAAGATTTAACTTTACCAAACAAGAGCTAAGAATCAGCATAAGGCTTTTCAAACCAAAAAACCGGTAACATAGATGATCTATTGGTCTACATCCTATACTTAACTACTTCATTGGATAAGAAAGTCTGTGATGTATGCTTTAAAGATTTATTGAACTAGAATATCGGATAGTGATATAAAGTATACAATTATATACTAATGTTTATAGGTGAACTATGAAAAAAACATATTTTTAATATAATGACCTACTTACTGATCGTTGAGTTCAGTGATCGAAAACAATTTCCTTGTTAATATTCTCTGATTTCTTTCTTAATATTTTCATTTTTGTAAAGCTTTTTCAAGTATCAGGATGGTTAGGTAAGATTGGTTTCATCACTTCAATGACTGAGAATTTTTGTGCTGGATGTTCACGTTTACGTATTACAGCTGATGGAAATCTTAAAATTTGTTTACATGATAATTATGAAGTGAGTTTAGTGGAGATATTACGCAAAAAAATGAATTCACATATAATTGATGATTGGTTTACTGAAAAGCCTAATTATAATTTAAAACAATCTATGCAATTAAATGAAATCTATGATCAACTTGATGAGATTGTCGATCAAGCTTTAACTAAAAAGTCTGCTAGTCACAAAGGTAAATATAGTTTAAAACAATAAACTAATACATAATTCTATTTCCATTTATAAACGTTTCACTATTAATTTGGACATTATTTTCAGAGTCGGTCCGTTTTTTTATTCTGGTAATAAGATAAACTAGAAGAAAGCGATAAATCTAATTATAACACACGATTTAGTTCATTGGATTTTTCTGTAATTCTTCTGCATTGATATCTGATCATCCACCAAGTAGATATAATACCATGAGAATTGTAAAGCAGGAGATCTCTATAATCTGAACTACAAACACTCTGATTACTGTAATTCGTTGTATGATAATATGTAAGTGAAGTATATGTTCAAATTTCGTTTGTTTTCTAGTGAAAACCTTGTTTTGAAAATGTCAAGTTAAGATGATCAAATGAAAACGCTATGAACGATAAAATGATTTGAGACGGAAACTTTACTAAACATCTCAAATAATTTATGACATATTAAGTTATAGAATGTGATTGCTTTCGCTTATGCTAGACAGCTCGGAATCAACTAGACGATTTGGACTATGCAGATGACTTGGCCCTTCTATCCCATACACACCAACATATTCTGATGAAGACAAATAGTGCAGAAGTAGGCCTCAACACACAACAAGGAAAAAAGGGAGATCCTCAAATTCAACACGGATAACACTAAACCAATCACACGTGATGGAGAAACTCTGAAAGAGATGGAAACTTTCACGTACCTGGGAAGCATCATCGATGAACAAGGAAGATCGGTTGCAGACGTAAGTGTAAGAATTGGCAAAGTATAGACTTTATTCCTACAGTTGAAAAAAATATGGAACTGAAAACAACTGTCAACCAATATCAAAGTCACAATCTCCAATACGAACATCAAGACAGTCCTAATGTATGGACCTCGATCCAATCGTCTAACCAATCAACATCGTGGTCTACAGAACAAACTATGAACCATATATGAAGAAATTCGAACGCTTCACTTCTGTCTGAAGTTTGTGCTGATGATATCGTTCAGAAGAACTATGTAAGCTCCACGATCAAACCGTCCAGCTTAGAGAACAAAACTCTATCCAAATCATCCACCTGAGCTAAAAATCTCCATTCAAACTTGATATTCGCTTAAATAACACAAAGTAATCGCTTTATTTTATTAAATTATCCCCTACATTAAAAGACTAATCCTATTTTTTTTCCCTTCATGGAACTAAAATACTATTTACATTGATTATAAAGTTGAATAAACCATTTTACTAAGTTAACTGTAATTTATTGATTTAATGACTATTATAGTTTTATCTTCACTTATTTAATTTATTTGTAAATGTTCTTTAAAAAAAAAAGTTGGTTATTTCTTCTATTCTATTTTTAAATGAACTATAGGTGCTATTCAACTTGCATCAAGTGTAAATCGTTCAATGGTTCAAATTGGCGGTTGAACAAATTTTCAATAATCCTATCAATTTATATAGATGAATTTTGAATTAGGATAGAATAATTTATTATGTAAATATATTTAAATAAATATTGATTGAATAATTATACACTTTTATTTTTGATGTTGTATGTTTTCTTGTAAAACTGTATGTATGTGTTGTTAATTAAGAATAATATAAGTTAATGGTAGCCTTTATTGTAGTTAAGCCATATCTTGATAGGAACTTATAATTCAATTGATCATTAATTTTAGTTATGTGGACAAATGTGAATTTATTGGATAAGACATTTTAGATATTTGAAGTTGTTAGTAGAAAATTATTTATTTGATTGAGATCATGAACCGATTGATGTTAGACCACCACAATTGAAAACCTGAAAGCACTGGACGGCCGTTTCGTCCTATAGTGTGGGACTCCTCAGCAGTGTGCATGCACGGTCTCGCTCGCAGGATTCAAACCCAGGACCTTTGGTCTTGCGCACGAACGCTTAACCTACTGGACCACTGAACCGGCATTCAATGGTGATAGTGTCTAACATCAACCAATCCACGAAATTGCGCGACCAACTTCCATTGTACTGAGGTAGATACCTGTCTCTACCCGACATGGATTAGCTCCACTGGTCACGGCTTCTCACTAGAATTCCGAGATTTCCCTCACGAAGCTAGTCACTAGTGAGCATATGTTGATTACTAGTATAGGGGTTGTGGAGATTATTAAGTTCTTGATTGAGATCGATTCATGATCTCAATCAAGAACTTAATAATCTCCACAACCCCTATACTAGTAATTATTTATTTATCGACTGAATTAGATGTAATTTTCATAAGTCACATGTTGCATTGATATTTAATGTTGAGTCAGTATATGAGTAGGGTATGAGATAACTATCTGTTCAGTCATAGACTAGGATTCATGTTGATACGATTTAGATTAGTTTGACTACGTAGAAATACAAATCGTATTATAGATATTATTTGATTTAACTTCTCAAAGTATTTAATCTTTTTCCTTAGTTAAATTAATTTGACCAAATACTATATTTATTAAATTCATTTTGTATTGTTTGTTTAAATCATCCCATTGATATTTAGGACTGCGATTGACCAGTCTCTTATTGGTATATGTGCATCCGGTGCGAATTGTCTCGATATCCCCTTAAGTCACAAGCATTATAAGCAAAGATGGATGGTGGCTAGCAGTGGAATCCAGGCAATATTGTGACAATCCTAACAGGATATACATATGCCAATAAGAGACTGATCAATCACAGTCCTAAACATCAATAAGGAGATTCAAACAAATAATACGAAATGTATTTAAACTTCACCGCATTGCACAAGCAAGTGGCTACTAGTATTCAATAGCTAATTGGATAACGCGATGGCGTTTGAAGCGAATGGCACTAAGTTCAAGTCCCAGAGTGGACATCAATTCTAGGATGCAGGTTTATCCAGCTAATGAATCCAAGATAGGAAAGAACGAACGTCCTTGACTCCTATGCCAGCCATCATGCATTTATGCTTACTATAATTACTATTTATCATGTTTGTACGAGCGAAATTATAACTTTTGGTTACTCATATCATTCTATCATGTTCATGTTTTAATTGTTTCATTTACCAATTAATTATTGATGATGTTCGACTATGTTAAACTCTATTACCTATTTTGACAAGAATTGAACTTCTGTCATTTTTAAAACGATTTTTCTGTTGAATATGTTAGTTGTAATTAATAAATCTGTATGATGAATAATGGTCATCAGAACTCACTAAAAGACTAATTGTCAACTTTTAAAGTAGGGATAAAATGTAGGTAACGTGCAATCAGCTGATTGATAAATGATGACCGATATGATATTTGTTTAGTCGTTTAGTGATGATCAAATTCCAACGATCAAGTTACAGTGTGGATACTAGTCTAAGTGAATCGACAAGGTGTGAACTATTTGGAGATATTAATCGGTTTGAAGTTATCAATAGGGAAACGTCGGACCTAGTATTCGTGCCATTTGGCACTCGTCAACAAGGTTTAGGTGTGATTTTGAAGGAACTGATGCTTTCCGTTAGTGTTGAACCCACATCATTTAGCTTCATATTTAGAAACGCTATTATTAATCTATTCAGGCAGCGACTGACCTCATGTAGAACCCAGACATTCAAAATTAATTAATCATTGGGTAATCACCAGTATCATACTTATCTGACCCTTTTTGTCTGTCGAATTCTATCGATTAAAATGTATGTTACACATGAATTTACATTTGTGAGCAATTTATTTACTTAAATAAGCCAAATGCATATGAAAGATTAGGAAAATCCAAAATGAAATGAACTCTCTTCATCTCACAATGTTTACAGTTATCAGTTTATTATTTAACAAAGAATTCTAGAACCACCTTATGGTTACAATGAAGTAAATTCTTGAGTGAAAGTGTAAAAAATCTTATGATTTTTTAAACAGTTATTAAAGTTTTGGGAGTTACTACTAATCATAATTAAGTGATTGACCTGATCGAATAGTTTTGGAAATATAGACTACTTGTGTAGATGTGTCAATTTTAATTACTTTATAATTTGACAGTATTGCTTAGAATCCATCTGAATAAGGCAAATGGTTTAACACTTTATTTTCTACTAAATCTCAAGTTACAGTAATCCTTTATGCATACTTTACGTTACTAATTTTCAAAATCTATTGCCAGTGTCCAATTTTTCTCATCATTACTACTACATAGTTTAGATTTCTTCGCTATTCATTTTGTGTATGGAGGACAGCTGACAGATGCATTCCAAGTAAGGACCGGAGTCAGACAAAGCTGTCTACTCTCCCCCTCCCTATTTCTCCTGGTAGTTGACTGGAATATGAAGACCACAATATCTGAGGGAAAGCATGGAATACAATGGATAGCTCAGAATCAATTAGACGATTCGGACTTCGCAGATAACTTACTCTTTATATCCCATACACACTAACAAATTCAGATGAAGACAACTAGTGTAGCAGTAGCCTCTGCATCAGTAGGCCTCAACATACACAAAGGAAAAGACAAGATTCTCAAATACAACATACAGAACATCAACCCAATCACACTTGATGGAGAATCCCTGTAAGAGGTGAAATCTTGCACGTACCTGGGAAGCATCGTCGAGGAACCAGGAAGATCTCATGCAGACGTAAAGCTAGGGCCTCATTCTTACATTGAAGAACATATGGAACTGAAAACAACTGTCAACCATTATCAGAGTCACAATCTCCAATACGAACATCAAGACAGTCCTAATGTACGGAGTTGAAACATGCAGAACTACTACAATCATCATCAAGAAGGTACAATTATTTATAAGTAGTTGTCTATGTACGATACTGAACATCCATTGGCCGGATACCATGAACAACAGCCTCCCAGCTGAAGTGGAAATTAGGAAAAGACGATGGAAATGGATAGGACATACATTACGCAAATCATCAAACTGGATCACGAGGCAAGCCCCAACTTGAAATGCTGAAGGGAAGCGGAAAAGAGGAAGGTCAAAGAACACATTACGTCTGGAAATAGAAGCAGATATGAAAAGGATGAATAACAACTGGAAAGAGCTAGAAAGGATTGCCCAGAACAGGTTTGTATCAAGGATGCTAGTGAGCGGCCTATGTTCCATCACAGGGAGTAACAGGCATAAGCATCTTGTCATATTAATATAGTTTGATAACTTGAATCAAATCATATTAATCCCCATTCTGTACATTAATTTATAACTGACTAAATCATTGTTTTGATTCAATTGATAACTAATCTAATCATCGTTTTTCTTTGGATTATCAGAATTAGACAATGAATAATATCAAATTACCATAGATTATGAATTTATCACAATTTATTATGAAAATAAACAAGAAATAAAAAATAAAAAAAACAAATCAAGTAAATGTATCAATAATTCAATAGTGATTATTTATTCACAAATAGGGATGCTGGTGGGGGGGGTAGATGGTTACTAATTATAAAAAAATATACATAAATTATATTGAAAATTTATTCATTTACAAAGCCAAATCAAAGTCAAATGTTAATTCTTTCTTTTTTGTGTGTGTATGTTTTATTTTCAATAATGAATAGTACTTTAATAAATGAAGTACTCTTATTTTGTATATTTGTTATCGAATAGATGAATTATATACAGATTATAGTGAATGATTCATGTAGAAACATATTCATAATGAAATTAAACGAGAGTAGATCTCAGAATAGTAATATTTCTCAAGGTTACTTACTTACTTACGCCTGTTACTCCTCGTGAAGGAGCTTAGGCCGCTCACCAGCATTCTCCATCCAACCATGTTCTGAGCAATCCTTTCCAGCTCTTTCCAGTTGTTATTCATCCTTTTCATATCTGCTTCTATTTCCAGACGTAATGTGTTCCTTAATCTTTCTCTTTTCCACTTCCCCTCAGCATTCCAAGTTAGGGCTTGCCTCGTGATGCAGTTTGATGATTTGCGTAATGTATGTCCTATCCATTTCCATCTTCTTTTCCTAATTTCCTCTTCTCAAGATTACTGTAAATATTGAAGAGGAAGAATGTATTTGTAAAATCTCAGTGAATGAATTTGAAGTAAATCTAACGTTTCACCTAGCAATCTGATTCAAGCTTTTTCAAAGAAATGCAATCAAACATCAAAATTATTGAAATATTAAATACGTATGTGGTTCTCCGGTTCACTGTATACTGAATAGGTTATTCAAACAACGTCAACAATATTTAAAGTAGGTATTTGCATTATTGTGTAAGATATATGTGGTGTGAAACGAGATTTTACAAATACATTCTTTCTCTTTAATATCTCACATCAACTCGGTGCCAAAATATTGTGAAACCATTCTATTGAATTTAGACGAAAGTTCTTACTTGTTACTCCAAGCACTTTATAATTAATAACTGATAAAATGTTGATTAGAAACCTTATCACAATAATCATTTTCTTCCTGAAAAGTTTAACAGTTTTTTGTCAGTCTAAGTGATTTTAAATAATTTGATGTGGCCATGACAACTAAGATGGTTTAAGTTCTGATAAAGCTATACTTAGTGAATACTTTTCGATAAAGATCCCTTATATGAAGATTAATCATAACCTTTGGTTTAAATATAGACAATGATAGTTGACGGATACGCTTTAGTATTGCATAATCAAAGCAATGTAGACCAGTGTATTCCAAGTCACTGTTCTATAGGTAACCTTCCTGCAATCAGGTCAGCTGGTTCTAACTTCGATAACTAAAGAAGTCATAGGTGCTCTATGCTGCGAAGTGCTATACTAAAATGAAACGACTGTTAACTGTCGCCTGATTTTTAACCTGCGGTGATAACCATCTTCAAAACAGAAACTATGTCCATTTACCGAACTTTTATCAAAGCAGTTAGTAGATTTTCATTTAATATTTCTTTACATTTCGAATGTGATAAGATTTTCGATGCTTTTGAATATTTAGGGGACTATTTTTTGTTGTTTTTAGAAAATTAAAATCGTTTCTCTTACATAATCATCAATTTTATCACAAGGAACCACAGAAAACTTCGTGTAATCAGTATATACATATATGCTTTTCTTTCTAACGCATAAATATGAGTCATCACACTTTGATCAATTGTTTTAAACGTGCAATTGAACCAAATTTTTCAAACAGTCTAAAGAAATCATCAACACGATCAAGTATGACAACAGAACAGCAAAATTCAGTGAGCTACTTTTTCTCTTTAATTATAATGAAATCAGTAAAAGGAAATCCCCACTAATAATTAATTATCAGTAGTTGAAATCATGAGTTAATTGAAGCTAGACCACCATGGAAAACCTAGAGGCACTGGACAGCCGTTTCGTCCCAGTATGGGACTCCTCAGCAGTGTGCATCCACGACCACGCTCTCCACGAGATTCGAATCCACGACCTATCAGTCTCGCGTGCGAGTGCTTAACCATGAAACGGTCATCCAGTGCTTCCAGGTTTTACATTGTGGTCTAGCATCAATTGATTCATGAATTCAACTATTAAATTACTAAAATCTCCACAAAACCCTCTTCTAATAATTCTAATTTATTTAGTTATATATGGTTTATGGAAATTATTCCACTGACTGAGATAATATAAGATAGAATGATAATTAATATAATCCATTATGTCATTGAATGAAAATAAAGAGAATTCAGCGAAGAAAATTTCCTTTTCGACAAAACCATTTACTTAAGTTACATTTATATGGAAAATATATGTCTATAGAAGGATAGAAAAGATTACACCATAAATTGATTCAAAACTCTTATTACCAAATGAGGTTATGCAATAATCAGCGGATAAGGAAGGATTATGAAGGATGAAGATAATTTACGGGTCAGACAATTGTCCAATTGACAGATATGAAGAAAAACGACAAAAATAAAGGTCATAATAACTATTTTGATGGAGTTTTGTTATCTGAGCTCAGATAACAAAACTCCATCAAAATCATCCATCAGAGCTACAAATCTCCACCATCTCACTATAACTATAAATACGGATGTACAACTTAAGTAAATGATTTCATCGAAAAGAAAATTTTCTTCGCTGAATACCTTTATTTCTATTCAATACGATAGAATGATTTAACTGATTACAAAACTTGTCGAGGTAAGATGGTGGTTGGAGGTAGTCAACGAGAAACCCTGGACCTAGGTTTCGTGCTACTCGGCACTCGTCAGCAAGGTGTACCTATACCTAACTACCTCCGACCATCATCTTATCCCAACATAGTGTACGCAGTACAGAGCCACCTAGACTGGTGTCCACATTGCAATCAGGTCGATGGGATTCGATCTGCACTAAGAAGGACCTGACATACATGACATTAATCATCACCCAGTGATCAATCACTTGTAAATAAAACTCGTCATTTTATATGTTAAAGAACTATAAGCATCATTTAATATAGTTTACCAAATATCTACGAGATGATGGCATTGAAAACTCATACAATAAGCTGTTCACTAACAATATAATAGATTATGCTATAGGTCGGAGAGTCTACATTTTATCAAGCATATTTCAGTTATGTCTTATCATTTATGTGTAAAACAACAGGAAGTGATGACTGAAGTTAAAGATACCCATGTTTAATATATAATTCGACTAGTTATAAAAATAATTTAACCCTAACAGTCCATACTACTCGATTGAAAGAAAAATAGTAGATTTTAGCTGGAGAACCTGGACCTCAATTGTTGACACTTGTCGGAGAAACTGCAGCAGATAATTTTAGAAGACTAATGATCCCTATGGACTTGAAGCTCACATCACCGACTGCAGCCGTCTAAGCTTTGATTAAGATTCTGTAGAATTGAGATATTTCGACTGGTTAATCGATGAATAGTGACTAATATTTATTCTGTAGTGCTGTTCAAAAACAGCAGATTGTCATCAGCCAGAGAGTTCACAGAATATCGAATCAATTAGACTAGTAGACATATTTTAGTAAAATTTGATTAGTAGCACGGAATCCGAAAAGCAGTATATTAATTACTTCTCAGCGACCAGGCAATGTACATATTTGCTATATCTGATAACAAATATATTTACATTGCCTAGGTTCTGATATTGTATTGTATAATCGCTCTATGTCGAACTAATATTCTAAATGAATATTTATTTTGAAAACCTCTACAGAGATAAGTAAAAGTAGAAGATTTGAGGAATTTTCAGCTTGTTACAGTGATTTCATAGGACAGTTATATGAATGTTTTGGTCTGTTTTTTTCTGGTTAGCGTTTTTAGCAAGGTTGTTTTCTATGGAATGGGGATTGCTGACCCCATGTCCAACTCTCCTTCATTATACGGGGTTGGGACCGGTACTAACCCTAAACGGGCTACAGCTGGAGTAGTGACCGTAAAGTCAAGTAATTACGTGATACACGCTATTTCAGTAAATAGATTTGAACCATGATTTTAGATACAACACTGCATCAAGGAACAATAATCATCATATATAAACTAACTTAACTTAGAGATTCTCTTTTTTGTATCGCATAATGTACGAATCATTGCAAGTACACTGGATGAAACGTATTCACTGCTTTAAAATTGAGTTACGCTTTTGTTTGATAATCAAAAGAATTTCGGTCGATTCCATGTATCTGTAATGCCTCATACAGAAGAATCTATGCTAAGAGCTCGAAAATATCAAGGTTTTTATTTTGATTAGTATACTGTTCACATGGTACTGTTTAATCAAGTGAATCCAATCGGTACTGAAAACCAAAAAGAATACCATGTTCACCATTTGAAAAATAAAAGCTTAAATCATTTCGAACCTACAAGTACATAGTGATTATTCAATAGAGAACCATTATTAACGTTTGGAAAGTTATTCGTTACATGTAACAGGAAATCATTTACATTCAAACAACATTTTCTCATACTTTTTATTTTATTCATAGTATGAGATTTATTAAGCTGATAGATAGTTTGAACTCCTTTCATTTTAATAACTGAATTCATGAGTCAATATAAACTAGACCATCACTGAAAACCTGGATGCACTAGATAGTCGTTTCAATTTATTTTTTATACATTTCAAATGATATCAGTGATATCCTGGGTTCGAATCCCGCGAGCCGCAGGGTCTTGGATGCGCACTGCTGAGGAGCCCCACAATAGGACGAAACGGCCGTCTGGTGCTTCCAGGGTTTCTATAGTGGTCCAACTTCAATTGACTCATGACCTCAACCATTAAAATTAATAAATAAAAATTTAATTTTGTTAACATTTCAGATTGAAATTGGTGATGTAACAACTCGTTCACCAAAAATGATTGATATTACATCTAAAATTGTAAAACAATTCAATGGAAATAATCATAAACAAAATAGTATGATAACAATTAGATCAGCAAAAGCAGAAGTATTTATATGTATTGATGATTATATAAAACAATTTATCCATAATCAATATATGATTACAGATACTAATTCAGATAAGATTATTCATGATAATAATGAAAATAATATTGATGATAATAATCATACAGATGAGTTATATGAACTTTTAACACCAAAAGGTGATGTATTTACAGTGGCACGTTTAGCTGGAATACAAGCTGCTAAACAAACTTCTAATATTATACCATTATGTCATCAAGTAAGTTATTGAATTAGTTGTTTTAATAAATAAATAAAGTTTTAAATTTGCAATTGTTTAGAATGAGTTACTTACTTACTTACGCCTGTTACTCCTAATGGAGCATAGGCCGCTGACCAGCATTCTCCAACCCACTCTGTCCTGGGCCTTCTTTTCTAATTCCATCCAGTTCTTGTTCATTTTTCTCATATCTATCTCCGTTTCCCGGCGTAATGTGTTCTTTGGTCTTCCTATTTTCCTTTGGCCTTGAGGATTCCATGTGAGGGCTTATCTTGTGACTCAGTTGGGTGCTTTCCTCAATGTGTGTCCTATCTACTTCCAGAGCTTCTTCCTAATTTCTTCCTCCACTGGGATCTGTTTTGTTCTTTCCCACAGTTGGTTGTTGCTAATAGTGTCCGGCCAACGGATCCGAAGTATTTTGCGTAGACAACTGTTAATAAAAAGATGTGTCTTCTGGATGATGGCTTTCGTAGTTCTCCAGGTTTCCGCTCCATACAGTAGAACAGCAACAACCTTCTACACGTCTAATGCATGTGCTTTGGCTCCTACATATAAACTAGTAGATAGTGTGTGATTTGGATTGACTATTTCATACTGATAGCCTGACTTCTGGAGTATTTACCAGGTTTTTCCGATGTATGGATTAGATATTTTGCAAGTCGAATTTATTTTCGACACCATGGATGCGTATTGATATAATGAGAGAAGTGACGTTGATTGAGATTAATGGATGTGACAGTAAATGAAGAATTAGCTTTATGTAACCGCTAAAACCCATCTTGTGAATGATAGCGAACTTATCGTACATTTTAAATGCATTTTTTGATCTTTGTAGTAGGGAGTTAAGTGAATTATGTTGATTTTGAAACATGTATTAGTGATTTTAGCAGTGTACTGCATGTATGTTGAAGGTATGCGTTTTACGAGACTGTTCTGATGGTATACTAACCAGATAAAATTCCCTCAGTGAATTCATGGAGATGAGCAATAATGCGAATAGTGAGTAAACCTTCTTTGAAGTAGATGAGAGTATTATGATAAATCTGAGCTGTGTAAATACAATTCTTTTCACTTTAATGATATGATTAGGCCTAACGGTCAGGTATTAATTGATTGGCGAATGAATAATTTACAAATTACTTTCCTCCAATCGCCTAAAATATTTTATCATGTTCAATGTTCATAATTTTTATGTAAGCATGTTATTTTATACATGAAAAAAATCATTCGTCTGGTTAGTGGTCTATTCTTGATTTCTAATTATTCGGAAGCCAAAGTCAATCATACGGTCTCATGACTAACCATTACTCAGTCAAATTATATCATTGAGTTCATCTATTGATTCGTATTACATCCATCCACTTTAACAAACAGAATTTCGCCTCACACGAATACGCACTCCATAACAGTGGCGACGGGGATGCGACCTATTTTCACAAGCCTTGTGTCTAGTTGATTTGAATTCAAAATAATTTAGACTTCCTTCTTCTTTGCATCGAGATTTCCGTCACTAATTGATACGTTCTTGCACCGTATCAATAATTCACGATTCCAACTTCCATACAGTGATCTTGAGTGCTGTTGGATGTATGAGGGCGGTTATCACTTCCGGTTGCCCACACGGTAGAAGGATTCTTCCAGAGGTACCTGAAAAGAAAGTCAGGTTAGAGGTGATCTTAGTGATCTGAGAGCGTGGCTACAGTGCCCTAAGGACAACTGCTTGAGGCCGGTCACACACGACCTTTTCGTAAGTAGTTTTCGTGTAAGCTCCATGAATGTTGGGACCTTACCGCCGGAGACGGATATCCGTGGGATAAGGCGAGGTGTGCATTTTTCGGCTCAAACTTTTCTAACTCCACCCTTCCTTGTGGGAAGGCAGCATCGCTGTTATGTTGGTTGTTTGAGAGAAACACCTTAGTGCCGTCACGCATTTACCGGAGCATGGAAAGAAGGTAGACTAGTTCCGCTCACGGTATTAAAATCGGAGTCACGAATTATTTGCAGAGTGCATGAAAGTATCACTCGGACACTTGATTTATAAGTATAATTTCTCTGTCAAGCATGCTATGTGTAGCGTGAACAGATTGAACATATCTTTTTTGGTTGGAAGAATAAACAGATTAAGTCTAACTATACAGTCATAAGAATCTTGATAGTCATAGATACAACTAAGAAAATAAACAGAGACTTACACTTGGGTATTACTTGTGCTTGAAGCTAGTCACTTATCTTTAAAATAAACCACTAATAGAGGATATGGATTGACACAGGATGCATTCGACTGACATTTTAAAAGATAATTCGAAGAAATTATCAGCACAGTAATTGTACTAAATTTGCTTATTGTATGCTTTTTCATGTATACTGCTTTTATTCTCTATTCTAGGTGCCCTTATCACATATTTCAGTCGATATTGGTTACAGATTAGGTAAAATTCATATACAATCACAAGTAAAAGCAGTTGGTCAGTCTACCGGTGTAGAAATGGAAGCATTAACAGCTGTTTCTGTTGCTGCATTAACAGTTTATGATATGCTAAAACCGTTACAAAAAGGACCAATTATTATTGAAAAAATTGAACTATTAGAAAAACTTGGTGGGTCGAAAGGTTCCTACTTAAAACTTGGTGCATCGAAGTAAAGAAAAGAACTTAGTTATCCAGCTTTGCTTAGAATTCGATTATGTTTACAGTATTTTGCAGGCTTTGATTTCTTTATTACGATATGTTGTCGAAATAGTTTGACTGTTAAAAGCATTTTCAAAGTTTTTTTCACAGGCAATATGAATGGAAAATGACATCTGACTATAGATGAAGCACCATTAATTACGGTCTGTATTTAGACAACTAATTTAACTGAAAAATGGTTGAGTATCGAGTTCAATGTCTGAAAACAAACAGTGGCAAGTTTTTAACGGCTTCTTTTATGAATTATAGTGGGTTCTAAAGCAGATCTATGGAGTCTTGTCATGTACTATAGTTGAAGATAAATTTTTTAAGTTCATTAAATTTTAGTGAGATGTACTGAGTTACCTTATACTTTTCTGGTTCCCAAGAGCAAAACTTGTTTCACAGTAGTGTAAGTAGAATCAATGATCTAGTGGTGAGTGGACTCGTTATAGCATACGGTGCGCATACATCTATCAGACTGAGATCACTCGTAAAACATATCATCTGAGATTACATGAATTTTGACTAATAATAGTACAACTTAGAAATAATGAGAATCACAGGATCAGGGTTGATCATTAAAAGAATAAATCATATAAGATATGTGGCACTGAAGCTTTTTATATAGATCAAAATACAGTAATATTTTAATAGAGAAAAAGAAATTGCCAATGTACTGAGAGATTATGTCACTGCTGAAATTTTCCATCTCAGAAGAATTATGTGAAGCAGAACTATCCAGACTCTAATAGCTAACTATTCTTATCATGTTTGTTGAAGACATCCGTTGTGTAAAAGCAGGTAAGCAGACGGAGACGATTAGAAGAGTTGTAACATTTTATCTGCACTTAAGAACAACTAAATATCAACTAAGTGATCAGAACATCGAACAACCATAACTGTTATTGTTAAAACAGTAGCTGATGCAGACCATTGATGGGGAGTTATTTCGAATTTAGAAGAACAAGAAAACCATCCAAACTCATTTCTTAAATTATTCAGAAGACTGTTTTATCAATAAGCTTGCTTGGAGTTCCGCTACACATATCGTCGTACAGAAACTTGCGCCATGTTTTATGTTGATAATACCTGTCTGTATATACATACCGTAAAGTAAAAAGCAGAATAATCGAAGGTTGGAAAATGAAAACATTTGAGACAGATGCTTTTTGTTTTTATTACTGTTAAACTAAGAGGTGTATTACATTTCATAATATAACATGCTTTGTTAGCATTCTAACTGAATGAGAGGAACAACTGCTCTTCGTCAGGCAAATAAAATATCCTTCTCAAATCACAAAATTACAGAGCATCTCAATCAAATCTGAGAACCATATAGCAAATCGTTAATTTGCAAAATATCAATCCATCATCTCAAACATGACTGTTCCTGTTGCAAACATCAATCCATTGTCTCAGGTTTCATTCCTCCTGCATTTTCATACCAATTGCGTTCCGTTGCCGTTCTTTCCTCATCGACATTCAACTGAAATACATTCTATGCCTGACCACCGTTATATACTACTTGTGTGGATATAAGTAACCCACACCACACTAGTCCCCCCTTTAAAGCATTCGTCCCGCCAGACCACTCCACTCGACTCTCCGCACCAAACTATCCCAACTAACACACCAACTTCAGGCCCACAACAGCGTCCGCAGAACAGTACCCTTTCCCTTCTGGTTGGCAGCGACATCAAATGTAGTGAACAAAACACCAGTGGGGACAATCGAATGTATTTGACAGAAAATTACAGAACTCCTTAATAAAATCTAACAGTCGTGTAGTAAATGCCTGATTTGCAAAGTGTCAATCGATTGTCTCAAAACGACTCAGACTTCATTGTTCTTGCACTCTCATACAAATTGCATTCTGTTTCCATTCTTTACTGTCCGATCCTCTTGTCTGTCCGCTGCCAGACATTCTGTTCACGACTAACGTCATATACTACTTATGTCGATATAAGTAAACACACCACACTCCAGTCAGTAACAACGTAGAACTTCGTACGTACGTACATCAGTTCGAGTTACCATACCACACTAGCACACAAATGTAACTGTCGATTCAAATCCCGTAGTTGTATTGGTAGTTAAAATATAAGCAATGACCGGAATGATCAGGATTTGAAGATGTTATTCAAATAGTGTAATCCAGTGAAATAAATTGGGAAAGAGAAAAAAGGGACATGAGGAATTCAGAAGATTAGAATCTGAGAGAACACAAAGAGTGGATTCACCTGCGCCATTGCAAACGATTTCGAGCCATGTCATCCAAGGTCTCTAACCATCGGTTGCTATTGTCTCTCGGATCCCAACCAGGTAGTCTACACCTACCAACATGGCTCAGTCCACTTGTCAGTGACTTCATGGATTTGTGCCATGTTTCGGTCTGCCCCCACTAACGTTTTCCCAAACTTCCCCTACACTATAAAACACCGCTCGCTGGTGGTTGGGCATACGTAACACGTATCCCAGCCATCTCAACTGATGAAGTTTCACTACTTCATCAATTGATTTGCCATCCTTACCTAGTACCCGTTTCCTAACAACCGCATTACTTACTCGGTGGTCCAGGATGTATGAGCAACGCTTCGAAGACACTTATGATCGAATACTAGTAACCTACGAACATCCTCTACTCTTACCGGCCATGTTTCACAGCCATAAAGTATGACGGTACGAACTGCTGCGCAGTAAACACGTCCTTTGGTTGGTAGACGGATATCTCGCCTACACACCACACTACCATATAGATTTATCAAAATACATATCTAACAAACAACCAAAACACAGGAATTGATTGTAAATTATCATACATTTATTTATTTTTCTATATGTAAACGTATATGAAAATAATTGTGAGAATGAAATTAGAATGTTTTATTACAAAGTAGTCTTGATCACACAAATACTTCAGTTGACTCGAATATACATTATATACAAATGGTTAGGAAATTAAAGTATTTCGTACACCACTATGCAGTTAACAATGATTATAGAAAAGCTTATTTTGGTTTAACTCCGGAAAAAACTGTCGGAGAAGCATACCATCGTAGTTCAGATGGTGATTCATACAAAACTTTATGTAATTCTTTAGGATTATAAGAATCTATAGAATCAGGAACAATTTTCAATACATGAACAGGACAAGTCCGAGGTAAACGAAATTGTAATCGAGGTAGAAACCATGAAGATGAAAAATCTTTTGATGTACATATATATATGTAAGTACGTGTAGGAGTAGAACACTTAAAAACATTATCAAAAAACGGAACCTGTACAAGAGATTCGAAAAATTCTCTGAAAGAAACATCTGTTTTATCGGCATTTGTAATTTTAGGATAGAAATCATTGATATCTATGAGAAATGCTCGTTTTGGATTACTTGGTAGACCACCAATCATAATCAGGAAATAAAGAATAGATTCTGATTTCGATGATAGCAAATTAGATTCAACCTCATGAATTGACCGTAAAAGTTTTACTTCCTTTGAGTGCAAATTATCCTGCTCGTAGGTAGAAAATAATAATAGTCAGTAAGGGATTGTGAAGAATGTTGAATTTTATTTAAAGCATAAACCGATGAATGTTAGACCATCAATGGAAATCTAGAAGCACTGGGAGGCCGCTTCGTCCCAGTATGGGACTCTTCAACAGCGCGCATTCACGACACAACACGCGGGATTCGGAACCCAGGACCTTCGACCTCACCCACCAACGATTAACCTCTCGACCACTGAGCCGGCATCCGACGGTGTTAATGTCTAATCCTAACAAATCCACAATATTGCGCGACCATCTTCCATTGCGTTGGCGCATGCTGATTGGCTAATTCTTATCCAATCCGCGTGCGCCAACGCAAGCGTGCATTTAGCGTGATTTAATCCAATCTATGTCCCGCTAACAGTCTTCAGTGGGTAACTGCCTAACACCCAACACGGTTGAACTCCATTGGTTACGGCTTCTCACTAGAACTCCAAAAATTGCCTCTCAAAGTTAGTCACTAGTGAGTCCAGTGCTTCCAGGTTTTCAATAGTCGCCTAACATTGATCGATTCATGATTTCAATAAAATAATAGTAATTGATCAACGAAAATTAACATACCAATTTTAATTCAATGTCTGATTCATTTTGAAGAGAATTTAAGAGTGATAAATCTGGAAATTGACCAGTAAAATATATAAACAGTTTCATTATTCTACAAATAAGGTTACACCGTTCATCAAACGAAAAATGATTAACTCCAACAGGTAAACAACAAAAGTCCATTTGTCGTTAATAGTAGGATTGAAACAAGTTATGTTCTAAATGCATGATAAGCTAAAAAGTATTAAGAAAATAACGTATCACATAAAGTAAACTTTTAAAGAATACGGACAAAAGATGTGTCTAGTAAAACTATGAAGTTATTAAAACATGATCACTGCAATAGCTTTGAAAGCTTCTAAATTAATAGTGCAAACTACCAGTCCACTGTAGCTTTGCATACTAGATTATGAGCGACAAATAAGGTGAAGATCAGGCGTTATAAAGAGACGGGGATTTAAACCTATTAATGGGTTTGGCCGACATTGGGGTGGCGCACATCCTTTTTTTTACCAGCGTGATAAATCCGACACACGTCATTGAATACAGTAGCAAGACACTGCATAAGTCCGAGACTACTGTGTTAGTAGAAAATAAACGCCAGCCGTTGTATATTTCACAGAGAAATATAGACCATATCTTCTCTGTAGGCGTTTTTTAGTACAGACTGGTTGCAAGGCACTTCGGTGACTAATGAAGTGGGAGACGGCACGCTGGCATGAGTATCTATGGGAATTCAACTTTGAATGGACTCACCAATCAGGACGCCAGAGTGAAAATCTTGATTCATTGTCTGAGGGTGCTGTTAGACCACATGGAGATCGCCCTTAGTGAAATACACCTAACATTTGTTATTTTTGGTTGGCGCGGCTGAGTAAAGCGGAATGAAGACACCTTTAGCTATAAGCGAAGAAACATAGTTATTATATCACGCCGTATGAAACCAGGGACCCACCAGCCCAACTTAATATTAAGGATAAAAGCTGGGAGGCCCAATGTTTCTGTGGGTTTTGAGGCCAACAAGTTTTAGTTGGTATTTCATTTATGCAGCCACAATCAACTTATGCACAGCGGTTCGCGGCACTACAATCCATGGTTACATTATTCTTAAAAAACGTTGGTGCAGATCTGAGACATGAAAGAAGAAACAAGGTGGTTTAGGCAATAGTATTGATGGCCACGACAACAGGACGTCCGAAATTGCCTTGGAAGTCGTCAGGTTTGTGGTGGGGTAAAGAACCCCAGAAGAAACATATGGTACCACTGGTAAATATGAAAGCTGAATTCACCGACTAAGAGCTGGCAGTTGATATAATTGAACCACTATAGGAAACAATAGAAGGAAGTATACTCTAGTAATGGTTAATTATTTTACAAAATAGGGCGGAACAGTTCCGGTGAGAAAGAGTGATGCAGACGCGGTGGAAAAGGCATTGTTTGGTCAGTGAACAAAACGATGGGGAGCACCCAAACCTGCTTCGGTTTGGGCATCCGGGCAGTGTCCCAGCCCTCACACAAACCGAGTGATTTATGTGGGGCATATTTATTTGGTACCTCCTTTTGCCAATGTTTTCTTTTAAATAAATAAACAAAGGCACTCAGACAAGTGATTTAATTTGAAAGCATGCTGATAAGTCACACCAGCTGTTCAACATTGAGAGAACGCGAACAGCCTATTATCCTGAAGGTAGGGGGTTGGTAGAGGTGACGAATATAATTTTTGGAGAATTATTTAGAACGTCCATTGAGACTGCTATGTTTGAAGGCATTATGAGTTCACCTAAGCCTGCGGACAAAATGAAAACTTAATGACACAATAACCAAATAAGCTAACTGTCCTGATGCACCCCAGCCCCGCTAACTGGAGAGACGCCTTGGTCCAGAAGAGAGAAAATGCATTCCACAAACAGGTAAAAACACAAACAAGCACAGGCACAATTCAAGTGTATATAAAAAGCATAAAAGTTCCTTGGGAAACGTTACAAAATAGCACATTTAAGGTCCTCCCAAATGAGAAATACGACATGAAGGTGGTGGAGGTGAAAATGGTCGCTTTTGGCACAAGAACAAGAAATTCAAATTTGCAAAATAAAATTACAAAAGTAAGGCATTTAACAAAGACAAACGTCATTTTGGAATACATTGCTACTACATTGTTTGTTGGTATGCAGTGGAAGCCCACATGAGTTTGTAGTACATGGAGTCCATCTAGGGCAGTTGGAAAACCCTGATTCCAAACCAATGGTGCACATGGGCTCCAGTATCCTGAAGGAACAAATGGCGTATGAACCAATCGTTGGTCACCGGCTTCCATGGGACTGCATCTTACGATGCTCCACTGCCTTGTGGATCAGACCTTCATGTTGAAGGCTCCGGGTGTGGCCCCCTAAGAACACTACCTGCTTCGGTTTGGGTACCCGGGCAGTATCACAGCCCTCACACATCAAATGAGATCTGTGTGGCGCATATGTATTTGGTGCCTCCTTGTACCAATATCTGTGTTAAAATAAATAAAATAAATAAGCACATGCATTACACTTGTTGTGGATAGGAAGGAAAATATGCTTTCTCAGTGATGCAACTGCTGTAAGCTAATGGGTTGATCCGTTAACGGTTTCTGAAATGGCAGTCAAATTAATAGGTGATATTGTAGGCTACCACGGCTGGGTCCGAGAGAATTTGAAGAAAACGCAATAACGATCGCAAGATTTGAAGTTCCCCTTTGGAAATCGGTAGTAAAGCAGATGGTTATGGGTCAACCAGGAGGTAGGAAGAAAAATGAGTGAATTGGACCCTAATTGATGAACCGTCAGGTCAAAGACAAGACCTATTAGACAACGGAAAGAACGCAAAACTCAAGGAATTTATTCGTTCGCTATAACTGATTGAAGAAGCGTATTCTGCCCAGGAAAAGCTCTAATGATTGTAAAACTTCTGTCTCTTCTGTTATTACAGGAGTAAAGGGAGTAAGAGGAAACGACGAAGTGTTTGGAAACAACCCTAGTTGGACGGGGAGATTACAGCAGTTTTGCATAGAAATTTTTGGTGTGAACGTGGGGTAAATTAATGGAGTGCACAGGCAGAGTATAGTGTGTATGTAAAGAACTACCTGGGTTTTTTCACACGAGTCGATAGTGTGTCACGTAGAAAACCCTATGCAACGATAACTATAAACCTCAAGTTACTAACTTATTTGTATATGGGTATGACTGCACTATTTTGTCGTCAGAGAGTAACCTATCCTTGACTAAAGAACATTTGATGTAACACGAGGGAGGTTAAGTAGGTCTGCACATGATTCTAGGACTATGAATTGGGTTCAATCTGGACAAAAACGGATTTATGTTCATCTAGACATCTTAGAAACTTTATGATTTTGAGAGGCTCAAACAACACTATACTTAGACTAACATGGGAAATGATTAGGGGATATGGCAAACCAGGAGTAATCGGATTGGAACTCTCTAGGCAGTTGTCCAACGACCCCATTATGGGAGCTATAGGCTGTCTAGAAATCTCTGTCTGGGAAATTGAATGTGTTGTGTGTCTTCATCTTCCTCTGCTTTATAAAGTTGAGCAAAATCTCGATTTCTTTCCATGGAAGTCATTATACGGACCCGATGAGTTATTTTACCTCGTGTATGTTTTACACAATACCTTGTAATATGAATAGTGTTGAAGTGATTCCAATTGTTTTAGACAGCTTACTTACTACTGGTAAGTTTGTGAGTACTAGACTTCAGCCAGAAAGACGGTCGAACGGACGTGGTTTATGACTGACAAAGAGGCGTAAATTGAACAGAATGGCGTCCTTAAAAAGATTCCATCGTATCACTGCGTCCACGAAGCTATACGCACCCGAGAAAGATACTCTTTAGAGAAGTAAGGTGGTGGTTGGAGGTAGTCGACAAGAAACCTAGGTGTTGTGCTATTTATCACTAGTCATCTTGAAGGAACAGATGAGTCCTGGAGGACTCGAATCTGTCAATTAGCTTCATAATCACGGACATTACAACGGCGCTATCCGGACCACTACTAGCCCGTAGAATTGAGACGAAATACATGACATTGATAAGTATCCAGTGATCAATCACTTGTATGTACTCTGTTGAGGACAAAGAGCGTTGGTATCAATTTCGCGAAGACTTTTGTAGTTGGTGTAGTCACTTGGCAAGTCAATAACGAGAAAGTAGAGTGATATGTGGGTCAGGTCGCTTTTCTTAACACTGGTTTAAAAACAACATTTCGCAATTCTCAGTTTATATGGTGGGTGAATACGTACCCCAATGCTTCAGATTCAGTTAAGGGCAAAAGCGGAAATTTTGAGAGACCCCCCAAGATTTAAGGGAAATTTGGGGGTTTTGGTGCCACTTTCCCAAATTTTCTATAGCGGCTTCACCAAAATTGGGTAATTCAGTCAGGAGAAAAGGCCAGTCGGTTTTTAACAGGCAGATTGAACATTCTCAAATAATATGAATCCCGGAATCTGTTCCTAACGTCAGAACACAATTTGGAACTGCCGTCTAAGACAAAGAAGTTCGAAGTTGTCAACCAATGAGATTTGGTAAAAACTAACTTCTGTAACACTTCTGATTGCTCATCAAGAAATACTGAGTACAAATAAGGCTGAATAAAACTTAAATAGAAAGAAAAAGTGTCCTAGAAAACATACTACGTACTAATAATAAGTTTTCCATACTTTCACTAAACCGAACGTGATATCAACTTCAAATCGCTGACGCTTTCAATATCCAATGCCATGGGTACATTGTTACATTAGAAGTGATTTCCAGACATTATTGTTGTGTTAAAATGAATGCTTTTGTGTAATAACTACTCATTGTGGCTGTATTGTGAGAACTAAGTGCCAAAACCAGAGGACATTGTCTATGAGATGAAACTACCAGATTTGGCGGTTCATGTTCAGCTAGAACATACGTTATGATGAAGATGCCACAAGTATTCAGTGTTTGACAACACTTTAACCAGTAACGCCTAAGATAAATCGTACCCACCAAGAGAAATCAAATGACAGAAGCGAGGAGATTGGAAGATATATTTGATAGACTATCGATATATCGAGAAATATCTGGTCTAATCTGGCTAGCGATTGCAGATGTTGAGCACAGCGTTCCCATTCGTGATCTGGTGTGGATGCATGACCGAGCGCCTTCAGCTAGGTGAGTCTACTAAAAATAATCTGGTCAGCATCCAATATTGAGAACTTACAGAGCTATTGATTTTGGGGATTTGTTTAACGCCACAGATCACTCCCCGCCTAGTGGGGTAGTGATGACCCTAAGACGTGGCCAGCCAGAAGTTTAAACCCAACTAGTTGTGTCGTTGGTAAACACTCTTCTGATAGCTTGCTAGGTTTGGCAGCGTCTGGCCGTCTTTCCTTACTAAAAGGGACCATGAATACAATATAATGATAATATAATGTACAGTGAAAATTTTGGTTCCTCAAAAACCTCATCGTTCTTATTATCGTCTTTTCCAGCCTTCCTGGAAAAGAAAAAAAGAATATGTAAGTGCATGTCGAAATAAACTCGTACGCACTTTAAGACGCAAAATAGGTTTCTAAAATTTAAAGAATGTAATAGCAATTTTTACAAAATGTTTTTTTGTACAATAGTCATTTAAATGTTCTGGAAATCTTACTCTTCTTCCAGAACGCGTCGTTTTAAGTTTATTTTCAAATGCTATCGAAGTATCATCGAGCGTGTTGGTCGTCGGACGAGGTATTATAAGTGTCGGAGTCGTGTCGTTCTATTTTACCGAAGAAAAATCGACGTAGATAAAATTTCCTTCTAAATACGCTATTTTGGGGTGATCGATGCTGATGCTATCGTTGGTTCCGTTCTTATCGATTATATAGTACTTAGGTTCGCGTTGAAGAACTTTGAAAGGTCCTTCGTATGTTGATTCGAAAGGTCGTCAATGCGAGTTTCGACGAACGAAAACGTGTGTACTATATCGTAAGTCAGGTTGAACGAAAACATCAGTTGCCTAAGTCGAGTGGAAACAGGTTTAACTGAACGCATTGCGTTTGTAAGCCTGTTCGTGTAGGAGGTTGGATCCATGTTCACTGAAGAGGATGAGGGATCCAAGAATTCTCCTGGAAGTCAAAGTGTCGTTCCATGAACGAGTTGAGCCGCAGTGTATCCAATGTCAGCTTTCACTGCATTGCGAACACCTAATAAGACGAGTGGAAGAGCGTCGGTCCACTGTGAAACGTTTGTAGCTGATAGTGAAGCTTTTAGTTGTCGGTGAAAACGTTCTACCAATCCGTTTGCTTGTTCTTGGTAGGCGGTCGTTCGGAAGCGAGTGATTCCTAAAAGTGTGATCAGACGACGGAAAAGTTCAGATTCGAATTGACGTCCACGGTCTGTAGTGATAGTTGAAGGGCAGCTGAAGTTTGCTACCCATCGATCGACGAAGGTGCGGGCCACTGTTTCAGCAGTGATGTTCTTGATAGGTACTTCTTCTGGCCATCGTGTGAAATGGTCTACGCAGTTTAAGAGATAAGAGTATCCATTTGAATCTGGTAAAGGTCCTACCAAATACAGATGAACATGGTCAAAACGAGCATCGGGAGTTTTAAATGAGTTAAAGGACATTTATTGTGTCTGATGACCTTAGGTCTTTGGCAGCTTACACAGGAGCGTGCCCACTTCCTCACGTCTTTATTCATACCAGGCCAGCAAAACCGTTCTACTATAAGCTTGATGGTTACACGAACACCTGGATGAGAAAGTTTGTGCAACGTAATGAAGATGTTGCGTCGATAATGTTTTGGCACGATTGGGCGATCCCCACCTGTAGGTGTATCTTGATGTAAGGTTTCCTTACCTGTTCCCATCTGTTTGATGCGTAGCTTGAGTGTTGTAGACGATAACTCGTGCTGAAGATCAGTGTCTACTTTTTGAAGCTGGGCGAGTTTAAGAAAGTCGATTCCTTGGAAACTGTTCAGGGAAGTTATTCGAGACAAGGCGACTGCAACTACATTGTCTGCTCCAGAAATGTGTTGAATATCTGCAACAACGAAGATCCAGTGAATGGGTTTGCGTAAACCCACGTTAAGGTAAACGCACCTTTTGCCATACGTAGCCATAGGCTTTCCGTTTGTCGCCTGTAACTTTATAGCCGATTCGTGAAGCTGGTCATTAGAATTCGCCGGGAAAACGCTTACTTCTGTGCCAGTGTCGACGAGATAACGAACCCTCGTTGTTACATCTGTGACGTATAACAGACGGCTATGTTCACCGGCTACGATTGCCGTTAACGCGTGCCGGCTTGGAAGTTTCCCGAGTTATTTTTCGAGTCAGTCGGTTTTGTGTTGGGAAAATCGCAGGGTTTTCTGCAATTTCTGGAAGACTTTCCATACTGGTTATGATACCAGCACCAGTCAGGGTTATCCGTCTCTCGTGGTCTAGAGACAGGTCGCTTACGTGAAGTGCCTCTACACGGGGTGTGTGATAGCTTACGGTCGTTACGAAAATTAAGATAACGCGTAATTGCATGACATAACTCCGTTATGTCATTCTGGGACGTTTGAGGCTTTTCTTTAACTGAGAAAACCTTGTTATTAGATTTTGTGATTGCTAAAATGCGGTTGGCAGATGCAGCTAGCTCGTCTAAGGCGTTGCTGTGGAACGAGAAAAGCACAACTTGCACCAGTCGAGGAAGTTTCGACAAGAAAAGTTTTTTAAATAGGCCATCATCGAAAGTTCTTTGGCCGATAACCTTTCTCATTCGTTGCAACATGTCCGGTGTTGCAGGTCGATGTTATTGAGGAGTTGGTCTAACATTTGTCTATCGGTTAGGTCTCCGCGTTTCAGCTTTTCGTAAGGTTCGGAAACATCACTAGTAAACATACTAGGTGTTACCTACCTGTTGAATCCTCACGGTAGTTCCTTGACTACTGCGAGTTGTGCACGTGTGTCGATCACGCCGTGCTCGTGGAAGTCGTCTTCTGCGAAGCAAAACCAGGCTTCGATGTCGTCTGGCCAGAAGGTATCAGTTGAAACGAAGGTGGTGGCAAGATCTTAAGCTCAAATAATTTGGGTGTCTGTTCAGTCATGATGAAATATGAAGTACGAGAATGAACGAGGGAAAAGTATATATATCCAAAAACACGAAAAAATATCACAGTGTATGGAAATTAAGATAAAGCAACGATATATAGAATTCCAAAAAGGAACAGACTCACAGTTTACGATTTGTTGTGCCAGATCACGTTAGGCTCACCAATGAAGATGCCACAGGTATTCGGATTTGACAACGCTTTAATCAGTAACACCTATTATGAAGCGTACCCACCAAGTGAAATCAAATGACAGAAGCGAGGAGATTGGAAGATATATTTGATAGACTATCGATATATCGAGAAATATCTGGTCTAATCTGGCTAGCGATTGCAGATGTTGAGCACAGCGTTCCCATTCGTGATCTGGTGTGGATGCATGACCGAGCGCCTTCAGCTAGGTGAGTCTACTAAAAATAATCTGGTCAGCATCCAGGTTCTATGTCTGCTGTGATGACCATATAACACAGACGAGGTTGTTACGGAAATATATTACCAAGAGACGGAGTAGGGAAGGGAGTGAGGCTACCATCACATAGGTCGGTTCATGGCAAGCAACGAATTCGCAGCTCTTGCTGCATGAATAATCCAAAACGAGTTTAAGATCGCAGAAACATTACAGTCCAGACCAACGGCAAGTTTCTGGAATATTGTCTTCATCGTTTTACAATAAAAGTCGAAAATTTGAAGTTAGGCAAGCAATGGTTGAAATAAAAGGTACCGGGAGATAGCCCGTAGTTTGAAATGGAGTAAAATGTCGAATGAGGAAACAAGACGGAGAATTAGATTTAGATTACTGTGCAGTCTTTGCTTACATTGCCAGCCAATATGTGTCTGGGTCGATTAAGGGTCATATTTTCTAGTGGCTGATGCTTTAACAAGTCTATTTCACTGAAGCATTTAAATGCTATCAAGGATTGTTTATGAACCCTAAGATGGTACAAGCATTAGGAGTTTGACAACACTTTAACCAGGAACATATGTTATGATCAAAAGGTGGGAACCCGGTGAAATCTGAAGTCAGACACGAAGAGGTTGGAAGATATATTTGATAGTCCATCGATATATCGAGAAGTGATCAATCTAAGCTGGCCTGCGGTTGTAGATATTTGGCACGGCGTACCCATTCGTGGTCTGGTGAGGATGCATGATCGAGCGTCTTCAGCCGGGTGAGTCCAGTAAAACTGATGCGATCAGCATCAAATGTTAAAGGTTTACAGAGCAATTGATTTTTAGGATTTATTCACCGCTACAGATCACTCTCTCCTAGTGGGGTCGTGATGATCAAAGAAGTTTCCAGTCAGAGGTTTGTCAATAGTAAACACTCTTCTGATAGCTTGCTAGATTCAGAAGTGTCTGGACGTCCTCCTTTACCATAAGGGGCTATGCGGCACAATATAGCAATGAAAGACAGGTACAATGAAACGTCCAATTCACCGCAAACTTTGTCGTTTTTTCCACTTTTTACAGATGTCCTGGAAAAAGAAAAAAGGGTACGTAAGTGCATGTCTACTCCTATGATAGTTATATCAACATCATTCATAGCTGAGCGGCTAAAGTACCAACTACAGGGTCAGTTTTTATTACCAGGGAAGCCATTACCGATTACTTACCATACTTAAGTCTAATAAGTCACGGGGCCCTGAGAGCTTACATCCTAGTTCACTACCACCCCTCTCAAACATTTTGAAATCATTCACAGTAGTGTTCAGCATGTCCCTTTCCCAAACTCCTCCTAGGGATTGGAAGAATGGTATTGTTAGTCTTATATTTAAGTACTGCAAAAGACTAATCTTGTCTAATCATGGATTCGATGGTCTAACTAGCATAGCGGTTCAGATATTTTCAACGCAATATTGGGACAAGTAACCAGATCATATAGAGTCATATAATCTGTTAACTCCTAGGTAACTCGGCTTTTGGAGCATACATTCATGTCTGACTAACTTAGTGATTGAGAAACAGGGTTGGAAAGCAGCCTAAGATAGCAGATTGGCTATCGATGTAATGTTCACAGATTGTGCCATGGCATTTGATAAGGTGTCTTATTTAGTACTTATTTAAAAGCTCTCCAACTTCCAAGTAACAGTACCACGTGTGAGTGGGTAAGAAACTTTACCTGTTACCGGGGACAGAGAAGGAAAATAAAAGAGACACTTTGTTGGTGCCGACCAGTTTAGAGTGTTGTGCGTCAAGTAACTATCTTGGGCATCTTATTTCTTCTTCATAACGTCAATGAATTACCAAGACCGCCTAATTTGCTGACACTCGTTTAGAGATGTTAAAGTCTGAAAAAGAAATAGGTAGTAAGGCTGACAAATGTTATCCTCAGATTGATTCAGACAACTCGGTTGAGTGGTCCTGAATTTATGATTTGGAGGTTAATTATAGCCGCTAATTAATTATTGCCGTGTCCAATATACCATCAGTAGTACACTGCTTCCACAGGTATACACAAAAAGGACCTAAGCTTTCTAGATTCATGACTGAAAAACAACTAGGCATTGCAATTTAGCAGGTGCCAAGGGCTTTGGGTAGTTAGGGTCACTTCGCTGAGCTTTCAAATGCTCGACCAAGACATGTTTAGAATTTTATACCTCACTTAGAATGTTGCATTTAAACGGCTATCCCACGTCTTATTAAAGATACTAAATTCTTATACGATTAGTGATTAAAGCACACAAATGAAGGATAGTGACATGGATATTCAGGGATTGACAAGGCCTTTACACGTAACACCTATATAATCGAAGGATACCAACTCATTCAAATCAGCAGTTAGGGATGAATGAGTTCGAAGATATATTTGGTAAGGTTGTCGATGTGCTGATAGGCGTTTTATCTAAGCTGGCCAGTAGTCGCATGGGATGCGTGGCATACCCACTCGTGATCTGGTGCAGATGCGTGACCGAGAACATTCGTCTGGAGTGTGTCCAGTAAAACTAGTGAGGCCAGTATCAGTATCTAGGACATACAGGACTATTTATGTTGGAGACTTATTTACCGCTACAAACGCTTGCATTCTGTCCCCTTATCCTATCGTAGAACACTAAGTGACCTCATATTGGTATTTCGTGTCTTAAATACCGATGAGTGTCAACATATGTTGTCATGTTTCTCCATCAGAAGCTAATCATCTCCAAAACACTCACAAGAAGGTTCAAAAACCACCATCGCATAAGCTCAGAGTGGGATACCGCTTTTTTCGAGGGGCCAACGACTAGAATGTCTCATTCAAACAATTGTTATCAGTCAAAACAGTAAGCACTTTCAAGAAGGAGTCAAGCTCTTCCCGAAAATCAAGCTACAAGCATTAAAAAAAGTCAATTTACATACAATCCTAACTACCTAAGACTGAGGCTGCGAAGGTCAACTCAGGACTACCATTTAAAAACTTAAGGGTGCGGCGTATTTGATTGTCCTGTGGTAGTTAACCTGTCTCTATATCAAATCAACTAGTTATTTTACTCCTCCATACTCTCTTGATTTGTTTCACATAATCATCCAGCTAAAATTTTCTTTTTTGAGTACAGACTGCTGTTCTGCTGACTAATTAATATTTTTACTTCATATGAAGGAAAAATGAAGACTGCAGTCTTCACTTATCGAGAAGTCTTAATTTACCCAAAGAATTCAGCGTCCTGCATGGTCAACAGACTTATTACTTAGACCATTCTTATTGTTTTTTTAGGTGTCAGATGATTATCTAACACCTGGGGGCTTTAAAATCCCAACAAAACACTAAATGTACTATGTACTTATGAAAGTGTTTACAAACTAATTAAGTATTCCTTTTTAAATACAGATTACTGTTCTGTCCACTTACAACCTACTGGTTACAACCGGTCCTTACTGGATTTCAGCGACCCACTTTATCAGGGTGGCTGCGTAGTACTCTTGGTGAATGGCGAAAGGTCGTCTTTCTGGCTCTGACTCGTCGGATAGTGATGACGAAGTGAAGGTAAGTACTTGAGAAATTCGAAATATGAAACTTTACGGTATTTAAACTAATGCGTATCCAAATGTTTTTTTTCCAGTGGCTACAATCACGTCACAAGCACAGGAAGACCTCGGTTCCAAGCGATGAGACAACACGTGATTCAAAGTCAGGTGGAATTGAGGAGGGTGAAGTATCTAGTGATGACCTCGATGAAGACGAAGATGATGGCCTGGATGACAACTTAATCGGTGGGAAGATGATAAGCGTCGGTTGGCGAAAATGAGTGAAAAAGAAAGAGAAGAAGAGCTATTCAAGAGAGCTGAGAGAAGAGATGCCATACGAGCCCGCAAGGCTGTAAAACAAAAGCTGAAAGAAAAACGAGAGAGAGAAAAAGCTCAACAGGTAGCCTCTTTATCGAAGCAGCTTACCGGGGATTCAAAATCTAAAAGATCTGCTTATCACAACGTATTTTCAGACAGCGATGAGGCAGAAAATAGTGATTCAAGTGGTCTTGGGCCAAAAGGCCTTAGACAACGTAAGATTGCCCTGGAGAAAAAGAAGGTATGTTTTTCTGTTTGCTAAACCTGATTTCAAACCGCTCGCTTTTGCTTTGTTGTACAATTTGTGTTGATAGGTTACTAGTTATCAATACATTTTATTATCTTTTTTTTCTTGTAAAACTGTGATCATTGGGAAATTCTTTTTTTAGGTGGCTCACAGGGATAAATTTCAGGAACTCATCGAGCGTCGCAAACAACAGGCTGCTAAAAAGCGTCGAACTCATACATCAGACGAAGTGGATATATCCGCCCAAAATAGTTCTGGGAGTTCGTCAGATAGTGATGATAATAGTCCAAAGCCACGTGGCAAAATTCAGGAGAAACATCAGTCCATGTCTCAGCGTGTCTTTTCCTCAGAAGCATCAGACTCTTCTGATTCAAGTCGACCTGGTTCGCGTCCTGTAGCTCGACGTTCAAGGTTGGTTGTCAAATAGTTTGTAACCTAAATTCCGTTTTGTATGATCTCGGTATTATTTATACTAAGTTCTCTCTCTTAATCCCACTTCACCTAGTTAATATAACATCTTAAATCAAATAATTAAGTAATACCGTCCTTAAGAACTTGTGCAGTTTCCATTCCCACCCCATTTGGAGTTAAAAAGTAATATTATCATAGCCTTGCTCAGGGATCCATACTATGATGATTCATGGCATATCCTGGTAAAAATGAGTTGAATCGAACTTTGAACCCATGAATCTGATGTAAGCCTAAGTTTATTTTCTTAGATTGAAAGTAATTCAGCGAAGAAAATTTTCTTTCTTACGGTGTCATTTTCTGAAGCTGTGCAGTCGTATTTATACCGATTTCTCGGATAAAGTAGTCTGTTGAAAGGTGGAGGGACTACACAATAGCATTTAGGTAACTCCATGTGTTGAAAGAGGACCACGTGATGAACAAGAAGTCGAAAAACGACAGTCTAAAACCGAATAGATGAAAGATAGTTGCCCACTTGACAAGGATGACGTAAAAGGGAAAATAGTAATTAAAATTTCAGGTGGTTTGGGGTAGTCTGTCGGAAACTCGGGGCTCAGGTTTCATGCTACTTGGAACCCGTCAGTAACTTGTACCTGTAATCTTGCCGAAACTGGCGGATTCGATCTTTGTCATTTAGCTTCACAGCCTGGGGTGTTTCTACTTAGCTGTTCGGGGCTGCAATGTTGTGTCACTTAGACTAGTGTCCATATTGTAACCTGATGGATAGAATTAAATCAGCACTAAAAAAGGATTAGACAAACATGACACTGGTAGCTACTCAGTGATCAGTCAGTCGTAAGTTACTAAAAACTTTTAAAAAAAACTCGGAAGAAAGTACTAACAAATAATCTACCGAGTATGGAAAATTGATTATTAGTACTACGGTAGGATGAGAGCTTGGAAGTGTCACTTCTGTCCACATGGTTTTAATTTGAAACGATAATTTGCTAACACCCTGCAATGTATAGGTAATTGATCTATCTCTCCTGCGAACCCTATCGTTTAAACATATAGATACTTGTAAAATCCATCTGGTGCGGTTATGTAACAGGAATCTACCAGATGTTCCGGTATTGCGCTGTTGATTGTTTACCTTCTTTGGAAAGCCACGTGGTAATCCTCGGAGATGAGTTTAGAGAACGTTCACTCTGTGCAGTCACTGTAACCTGTTCCATAAGAGCAAGGGGATTTATAAATGTGCATTCGTGTATCTCAAGGTGAAAGTTTATTTTCGACACATCCACGAAATACAGTCGATACAAACTCGGCTCATTTGGCTTTGTTGATTTATTTACAGACTTCAATGTAACTTTAAAGAGAATCTCCGACCTGACGTAGTAGTTAGGCTTGCCTATCGTGATGACTTAACCGAGCTGTATTGGCTGGAACACGTTCCCTTAGGTCTTACTATGTCAGACAGATCGGTTGAAGAGTGGTAAGACTAAAAGCAGCAACTTAAGGTCCTAAGACGAAGTCGTACTGCTGACTGTAGAGAGGCGTGACAGCAGTAAGGTGTTTCCCGAAGAGAACCAGCATCTGTAGCGATTTCGCCTTATCACGAAGGGAGGAAGGGGTTAGAAAAGGTCGACCCTGATAATGCCACATCACCTTACCCCGTAGATTTCCTCCGGCGGTAAAGTCTCAGGTGCGGAGCTACTACGACGAAAGCTTCTCATAAAGATACCGTATGCTATCGACGTCAAGCATTTATGCCTTAGTCTCTGCGGTCGCACTCCCAGGTCTCACAAACCATTACTAATTCAGCTTCTTTTTCCGGTCTCTCCAAAAGAAATATCCACGATGTGGGTGACCGTGAAGTAACAACCGCCCTCATATCTCTATCGGCAGTCGAGATCCTATTGTTGACTTTAAAATCCAGCCCTCACCTCTAAATAATTCTTCCGTCTATACGACTAACCCTTCTCGTATATCTTTATCACTACACGCCACCAATGAGTTTACGAAATGTTATTCCTGGTCACCTGAAACCACTCTCGGGACTACATGTTGGAGCTTTTATTGTTCGAACCTTGTATCAGATAAGACAATAAGCTTTAGCCAGGACTCTAGAATCTCTTGGTATGATTTTCAAAAAGCTGTGAAAATAGCAGTGATATCTACCAGTAGCTTAAAGCAAAAGGTTAAGAGAAAGCAGTGGGTTTCAGCGGCGTCTAAAGAGTTGATAGGTGCTTGGAAACATCCCGTCTGGGTCCGAACACGATGAGGAGCAGAGGCAACTTAAACACGGGCTGATCAAAGGCCTATATAATGAGCGTAAGTAGTTGTAGGTAGCGGAAGCAGAAGAGATAGAAAAGGCAGCAGCGATAGGTAGAAATAGACAATTGTTCACATTTAAGGAAACAGGTATTAAAAATCCGGCTGTTAGTGAAAAGGACCAAACTATTATTTACTCTCAATCTAGAAGATTGCCCTACTGGACAGAACACTTTAGTGAACAGTTCAGCTGGTCTTCAATCACACATTAGTTGCCAAATATCTCCAAGCAACCTGAATGCTAACTGGACGCAACTCATCCAGCCCTTAGTGAATTTGAAAAGGTTATAAACAATCTAAAGAAAAGGAGAGTAGGCGAGCCTGACGAACTGGCCACTAATTTTCAAAATGGTAGTCGAGGTTTAGCAGTTAGATTAATTGGGATCTTAGCTAAAGTGGACGCAATCCCATCTAACTGGACTTGATCTCTGATTTTCCCAGTTTATAAGAACGGACATAAATCCTCTTGTCACAATCACAGAGGAATCATTCCAACTAATATAGTGTCTAAAATATTAGTCTCAATAATATTTCGACGTCTAACTAGAACTTGTGAAGGGTGAATTCGAGAAAACTAGACCGGTTTCAGTCCTGCACGTGGATGTATAGACCGAATACTCACCATTCGGTAGGTTCTGGAACAGAAGCATACTTTTCGACGTCCGACCATAGTTGTATTCTTTGACCTTAAGACGGTGTTCGACTCTCGATTGTGAGGTTTTATGGCAATGTCTCATTGAAAGGCGTACTAAAGGATTACATTAATCTTAACAGCCTCTCCACTCAAACACTACCGGTCGAGTCAGAAGTTATGATGAACTGTCATCGTAATTGGTTACTTCAAATGGTGTTTGTCAGGGTTATTTGCTTTCTCCATTTAACTTTCTCATAGACATGTTTCAGAGATAACACTTTCACCGTTCAACATACCAGGGATCAGTTTTCCACCAGGAAATTCCCTTGTTGGTTTAGAATGAGCAGATGATATTGTTATGTTTAGTGAAAATGTGGAGTCTTCTGGCCACCTTGAGCAACAATGCAAACATGTTTGGGATGCGGTTCTCCCTCGTCAAATGCAAAATTTAGCTTCAGGATTGGCTTGCGCCAGCGCCTATATCAATAATAGGATGTGAAGTTATCGGGCTTATCGATCGCTTCACTTATCTTATGAGTCTTATCAGTCCTAATGGTTTGGTGTCTGACAAAATCTTCGCATGGATTCAGAAGGCTCGATTTGCTTTTTCCAACTAACGTCACTTATAGCGTAGGCGTTTACTGCAGTGCAGTTTGCTCCGTCCTACTTCATAGTTATGACACATGGTCATTAAGAATAGGTATATGTAGGCTACTGGTATTCGGTCATACGCGTCTTCGAATCATTGTTCGTGTATTTTGGGACCACGGAGTAAGTAATGTCTGGGTTAGGAATATGGTGTTAGGTAAGAGTGGAAAGTTGGTTGATGAGGCAGTAAATTTTCATCAACTGAGGTGATTGGGCACGTGTTACGTGTGCCGAAGACATAGCTTCTGTCTATGAAGTCATAGACGCTGACTATCTGGCAGAGGTCCGGGTGATTATCGTAACCAATGGTTTGAGAATTTGAATGACATGACTCAAAATCGTCTGCAATGGCGCAGATGCATCTATCCTTCGTCTTCAACCAAACTCTGAGCTTCTGAATTTCTCATAACACTTCCGTTTTTATTTCATTGATTTATTTGTCCTTGAATCATATCTTCGATGCCTAATCTTTCCAATCACCACTCATACTTTTAATGCCTCTACTAATCTAGGATTCAGTCTGACAATTTCATCTCTGTGTTAATGGGGTATGGCAACTTGAACCGATGTACACACGTACCAGGTTCTACATGGTGACTGACTGATAAAGAAAACAATATCATTTGTTGTGGATTCATTTTTCACAAACGTGCTCCTAATGAAGATGGTTTTTTATGTTATGATGTCGAAAGCAGTAACCTTAGTGTTAGTGTTCCGAACACTGAAACGTTCACAATGGCTTACATCCATGACGTTATTTTCCGCTCTATCTCGTTTCAATATCTCTATACATACTTTGCCACTGCATTTTTGACCTTTCTCAAGGTTTAGTCTTTCTTTTTCATTACGATTAATTTATTCTGATCGCTTCCTCAATTCATCTTATTATTCTCATCTTGTTGTGCTGATCACAACTTGGGCTAGCTCATTTATGTGTCAGGTTGTGTTTATTAATGTCCTTTTGTCTGAAATCCTATCTAAAGGAATTACTCCTACGATATACCTTCATTGTTTATTCTGGATTCGGTAGTGATTTCTATAGAGGGACTGATGACGTAGAGATGGGTTTACCACTGAGCCCTACTCTACCTCATTGCTACATGACTAATCTTGACAATACAGTACTTAAATCTACAAGCGATAGCCTTCATTTATACAGATATATGTCCATCATTTGTGATGAAAATATTGACCTTATTGTCATCGTGAATAAATTCACTAGTTATGATCAGTCAGTTAAATACATGTAAGAAACTGGTGAATCTGCAATTTCAATTCCTTGATGTTTTATTAAAAAGAAATCTAGATGGTATCAGCCTTATTATTTGCCTATATGGGCTACTGACGAGTCTTAAGCTGTACGATAATAGTGCGTTGATTTCAGTCACTACATCCATAAATATCACAATAAAAGTTAGGGAAGAAATAAAAGGTTTTAGAAAATATTAAAATATGATATTGAGTTTTTAATTATTGTGTGAATTAAATGTCTTCATTTGTTTCATTTCAGCTTACAACCTTATCTCCGTTTTTTAGGACTCAGAACCAGTTTCTGATTAGCATTGATTAATAGTCAGGAAATTCACGGATTGTTGTCATTTCGCTCTTATTTTAGGTTTATTGGTGTAATTTACTGGATTCTGTATCAGATTTAGTGAGAGAACAACCTAACACCTTGACTATCTTAGATAATGTATCAGTCATAAGGGATTATTCTACTAGAGTGAAACAACATACTCCTAAGTTTTATCGCTATATCCGGACTATTGGTCTTTATCAAAAGTACTTCCCAAAACTATCATTCGTTTACCAACGTTGAAAGAAAAAGGAAAACAAGGTGAACCCCTAAAATTCGAACATTAGTGTACCTTATAAAGTGCTGTGGAAAGGTCAAATAAAAGTAATATTAAGTGCTATTAAGTACTATTAAGCGTATATAAGATTCAGGTGGCAGTATATTGGGGGCTTCTAATTACTTTTATTTGATAACTATTTTTTGAACAAAAATTTTCACTGTTCATTTCACTCAACTTTATTCAGAGTATTCTAGTCGTTGAGGCATGCCTATTTTCTTTTAAATTGTTTCGGTGGGACTCTAAAACTATGATTTCTTCTCTTTTTTTTTAGTTTTTCCAGTTTGTCAGGTTCACAGCGATCTGGTTCTTCAAGTGAAGATGACGCTAGAGGCAGAAGTCGTTCACCTGAAGAGGAACTAGTCTCCTCTGTTGAGCATCTATCTCGTATTCGGTTGTCACGTTTAAAATGGAAAAGTGGGTTCACATGCCGTTTTTCGATGTGAGTTTCTCCACATCCTACATGTGTTATCACGTATGGTAAGATGTTACTGAATTTATTATGGGTATCATAAGATTCAAGGTATGACATACTGCATTTATCTTAAAATAATTTTAAAGTGAAAACTTAGTCAAACAAGCCTTGAAAAGTAAACAATTTCATCTTTTATGTAGTGCATTGTTAATAACCTCTAAATCTTGTGAATGTGTAAACGACAAAATATTTTGAGTATGGTTTGTGTATTTTTTTTTAGATTGACGTCATTATTATTTCGTTACTCAGTTTAATGGGATGTGTGAAATTAACCAACTAATATTTCCAGTGTATGTTTTTTTATAGACAGCCTACTTGTTATACTGGTTTCTTCGATCAGTCTTATGAACTGTTATTGCAACCCAGCTACTGTTATTAGTTAGTATTCTTGGGAACTACTTGACTCGACAAGTTCCTAAATTAGAGCGTAGTTGAACAGGAACGTAATTATATTCCAAATAAACAGAGGTAAATGAAAGTAGGGATCACTATAAGAAAAATGTTAGTATATTTGTTGTTTTTATGCGAAAAGATTCAAGAGTCTTCTCCAAGTACCCGCTAGCGCTGATTGGCTAAGAAATAGCCAATCGTAGGATTCGGTGTGGGGTCTGATGTTAGGGTCCACCTACGACCGCGTGACTGGTCTGTGCTTTCGATTTGTCCATCTTCTAGGTAATGAATAAGTGTTATCACCCCTGCTAACAATCAGTAAAGTCCGTTCAATTTTAATTGTCATCTGTTGACTATATATTTAATAACAATATTTTTGGGGGAATTATTATTAAAATACGGTTATAATTTGTAGCATTTAAAAAAATATGTTTATTTGGTTGGTCATAATTTGTAAGCCTTGCTAGAATTAGTGTTCATACATGTAGCCGTAAATGACTGTCACTTATTTTTTTATTTTTCTTCCTCAGAACTTGATAAAAGGATGTTTTGTACGTATCAACATAGGATTACATCAAGGTGTGCCGATTTATCGTTGTGCTGAAATTGTGGATGTCGTGGAAACTCCTAAAATATACGATCTTGGTGACACTCGGTACATAAATTTCCAAGTGTTTTCTGGTTACATATATATATAAACTTATTAACCGATTATAGTTACTGATTTTCATACATTCACAGTTTTCTTTCTACATATGCTTCTTTATTACTGCTTTTATGTCTGGAATAAGTTAAGTGTATGTAATGTATTGAAGATCAAGAAATAAAAAGGAACTGTCAAAAGCGAAGGAATTAAACTTCACTTAAGATGTAGTGAAAGATAAGTCATAAATATATCCTCATCACTACATATAACTTTTTATTGTTACTTGAGGTGTCCAATATTTAATTGAAATTATGTACTAAGCTTCAACTAGTAATCGTGTACTTTGATCTCGGCAACCGGGTAATATTGTAGTGAACGAAGTACTCAGGTAGGGAGGACCAATTTATTGTTTAGTGCAAAATTACAGAGTTCCTTCGTAAAATATGAAAACTGTACATTAAATACATTATTTGCACATCTTCCTTCAGTTTTTGTTAACATGCTTCATGATTCTTTTAATTCTGTTGTTATTGCAATTGCTCTTTGTCTACATTCCTGTCCTCTTCAATTCGATCTTCTCAATCTTCTGCTACCAGGTATTCCACCTCTGGTTAGTGTTACATACTACTTATATCTGTCAACATAAGTAGCATACACCACAATATTATTAGTCCTTACATTTATTGTTTCACACATTCAAGTCCCTTATGAATGAGTCAGTTGTTTTTCTTCGAAGATACTTCGGAAATACTTATAATTACATCTGACAGCAACATCTCGCACAAAATACAGAGTAGACTATATATATCGGATTTATGTTCACATCAATATTTCTCTTCATACACGCTTTTAAAATTGAATTCTCATTTAGAAAGATGTTTTTTGCTCGATCTATAATCGCTACACTATATATATTTATTAAACGTCCTGCTTTTTGTAGAACTAATAAAGGAATTGTAGTCCGTGTTGGAAAAGACCAAAGTACATTTCGTTTGGCGTTCATTTCAAACTCTGATTTTCAGCAAGATGAATTCGACAGCTGGATGCGGCGAATACATCTTGCGAACATGAAACCTCCGACTTTGAATTTTGTCCGAGATAAAGCTGCTGAAATTACTGAAGCAATAAATCGTCCTATTCGAGATGAACGCGTGGTTGAACAGGTTTGTTTCACATGTGCCTGTATTAATTTTATTATGATATGGTTAACGAATTATTTTATTGCGTGAAATATACGCGTTAGATATTCAACAAAGATTTTTGTTATTTTGCTTGTTTTTTTGTCACCTAGTTTCAATATTAATAATGGTCTCGTCCTATATCAGTGGCAAGAAGTATAAACGTGTACTCACTTTAAGGTACTCTTGATACTATCTATCGGTATTCTGGTTCACCGAAAAGTGACTCGTAAGATGCTTTGCTATTAAGTATTTGCCTAATTCTTTTGATCAAAGGATTTAATGAGGCTAACTAGTCACAAAACATCAGTTGTCACTGTGTTTATTTGTCTGATATCTCAAGATCTTTTATTAGCAGTCATGTAGTTTTTTTTTCGGTAAAGTGTGCTTTCGATCTTGTGAAAAGTTATTATCTTCTCAAGGTTTGGAGATACTTTCATTTCTACTAGATTTTTATCAAAATCTACATTTGAATATGTTATTATTTAATTTACATGGTAGCTACAAACTGTTTAATTGTAATCAGTCACAATTAACTTATAACCTAATAAGAATATGCATTAGCCCAAGTCCTCATACCATGTTAATATGGCCATTTAGTCAGTCAGTTACCATGTAGAACCTGGTACGTGTGTACATCGGTTCAAGTTGCCATACCCCATTAACACAGAGATGAAATTGTCAGACTGAATCCTAGATTAGTAGAGGCATTAAAAGTATGAGTGGTGATTGGAAAGATTAGGCATCGAAGATATGATTCAAGGACAAATAAATCAATGAAATAAAAACAGAAGTGTTATGAGAAATTCAGAAGCTCAGAGTTTGGTTGAAGACGAAGGATAGATGCATCTGCGCCATTGCAGACGATTTTGAGTCATGTCATTCAAATTCTCAAACCATTGGTTACGATAATCACCCGGACCTCAGCCAGATAGTTTACGCCTATTAACATTACTCAATCCAATTGTCAGTGACTGCGTTTAGCCGTGAGATGATGAGAAGAGGTTAACAAGATATGTAGCGTCGAAATCTAAATCATAATCGTATTAATGCTAGTGAGAAAGGATAAACATTAGACAGTACAATTCAAAAACGAAAACAAATTAGAGGAATAAAAAGTATGATGTAGTACTGAAGTTCAAAACCTAGGATAAGGTAAGGAGTAAATACGTGTACGTCGCTGTGTTTGATTATTAACTTTTTCATCCATTGTATCCAACCATGAATCACAGTTATCGTGGCATCCCATCAGATACTTTAATGTCTATTCTAGATTCAAATTGAACTGATCAACGTTCAAGTGAATTGGCTAATAGGTAGCAGCATAAATAAGATATGATGCAAATTAGTAAAATACCAAAAGCGAAACAAAAGACAAACTTAGACCTAGCGAATACATATTTTGTATTCGTCAGTTTTAAGTCGAGATGGATGGTAGGTAGCAATGAAGTCCGGAATGCATGTTTTGTCTTATTTGGGACTGGCAATCTGGATGTAACTGCGTCCCAGAGTCGATGTTTGTCCCGCTACTCGATCCCAGTACCGTTCACTCGAAGCGTCATCGCATTATCCTCTTATCTACTGAGTTCACATAACAAATACGTGAAGTTTATTTCATCTTGTATTTGTTGTTTGGATGTTCCGATTGACGTTTAGAGCTGTCTCTTTGGCATATGTGGATCCTGTACGAAGCAAACGACACTAGGTTCCAGTCCCGGAGTAGATATAAACTCTGAGATGCAGGTATGTCCATCTGATCAGTCTCAAACAGGAGGAAACACGCGTCATGGATTCCACTGCTAGCCACCATCCATTTCGGCTTAAAATACTTGTGACTTGAAGCAATATGGAGGCAACCCGCACAGGGTGCACATGTCTCAATAACATTTTAATCAATTACAATACAAAACATCAATGAGAAGATTCTAATAACGAATACATATGAAATAAATATTCATCACTTTAAAACTGTTATATATGAACCTTAAATGTTCTTACTGGGAAGTTTATTTTCGAGTTTTACACTTTTTCGGTAACTAGTAGTAGTGATTTTAAGCTTCATAACTTCAGCGATCATTACTTTTTCGACCATATATGATGTACATATCTATCGAGTTCTGGTTTTACAATTGAGTGTTTTGTTTACCCATATATATGCATAGATTCTCAGCGTACTAAAATTTAGCTAGTTTCATAGCTGCAAGCTGATCAATAATAGTTGAACAGAGGGCAGGTAAAAAACGTCTATATGTAAAATTACTTATGGTGGTCAAGAATTAAACTTGAAAGTGAGATCCTAATTTGTCAGCTAGTTAATGATTAACGCGACTATTATTTTCTAATCGCCAGTGAATTCTAATAATTTTTCTCACTAATTATATGCACTAGGGAGAAGAAAAGTCTTTCTTATGGCTAGTGATCCTTTATTTAATATCAATCTATCAATCGGTCACATATCATTGCCATTTTATCTACCAAGCAGAATTCTGTTTATTTTAATTGTTCTCATAGCGTGAATTATTCTTCAAATTATAAACTTTAACAGCTAATAATGATGAAATAAATAACAATGTTAATTCAAAAAGTCTACATTCGACTAATGAGTAATTTATTGGCTGTAATATATTACTACCTATGTTTAAAGTAGGTGTTACCTTTCACTTTTAGTAGTGACACATTGATAATTTTTTATGGTTTTTTTTTACTTCATAGATCATACAATCCAAACGTCGTTTTCAGAAGGCTCCAACAAATTTTGCTTTACGCAAAGCGGAATTGATCAAACAACGAGAGCAAGCAGAAACAGATGGAGATACAGAATTATTGAAACATTTAGATAGTGAAATAGAAGAAATTGAATCTCAAGCTGAACGAATTGAGAGACGTCGAACTTTAGGTTTTAAATCAATTACATCTATAAATCAACGTAATCGTGCACTTAGTGTACAACAAGCTGAAGAAGCTATTCGCAAAGAAAGTGAAGAAGCATTGAATTCCAAGGAAGAAGATCCATTTACGCGTGTTCATTCTCAACCGGTAATTGTCACAAAGAAATATTTGGAAAAACTTACGTCATAAAAGAGTAAGAATTGTATGAATTAAGTTTTTTGGGTGCTAATGTTTTAATATCGAAGCTATCCTAGATCTGTTCATATGTTTTTTTTAAAGAAAATTTCTGTCAGTACAGCGCATTTCATCTAACATTGTGTCTAATTTAGTACGTTATTCATCTAACAATTACATTCTCTTATCTCTTAATTGTTCGATTCATGAATAAACTATTATGCAATCAAGCAACAGAATATTAATGGTTTTCATTTGTTGAAAAAGAGTAACATGTATGGTTTTTGTGTAACATTTAAAGGAAGAATTATTTTCAAATAGTGAAAAGAATTTGGTAACCTTTTTCCATGGTTTATCTATGTGTATTAAATTATGGAAATAGTTTTAAGGAAACTAAAATGTATTTTATTATTCAATTATTTAACGACGGTATGTAATGTACTCAACAAGCCTAAGTATCAAAGGATATCTGAATAATTGTAACTTGCTATTTCGTGTTACTTATATCAAGGTTTCCATTCACTGAATGATGATCAAGGTTAAAAGAGTATCCAGGTTCTTAGTATTTCAAACAAATGGCTTCTCAATCACTGATACTTGTAAAACAAACAGTGTCAAAGTTAGTGGTGACTTTTACTTTTGATCAACTATATTAGAAAAAAACATAAATTCATTAATCTTGTAATTTATTAAAGATATCAATTGACCACATATAGGTTAAGCATTTTTCGGTATCTCAGAAATTTAACGCAAAAATAAAGGTCATCTTTTAATAATAATAATGGATCAATTTATCTACAAGATATTAAGAAAGTCAACAGTTTAGATTTATTAGAATATCTCAAATTACTTTGAACTCTCTTCTTCTTTTTCTTCTTCTTCTTCTACCTCCTCCTCTTCTTCTTCTTCTCCTGTATGTTAAAAAATATCCCATGTCTTTTTGTGATTGATTTTTTGTTTTTATCTGACTAGCTTTATCATTTTTATAATCATAAAGTAGTTTTACAAGTTGCATCGCTATACAATGATTCTAGTTTATTTATTTTTGGATAATCAGTTATACTGAAATCTGGGGTTTCATGCTTGCTTTGAGTGTGCATGTTTGGAAAGATAATTTCAATAAAACATGGTTTTTTCTTAAATTAATAAATACTGTTATGTTAGTGATAGAATAACAGTGAAAGCTTCTATTTATATCTCAACGTATGCAAATTGATGTTTGGTTTAGCCATTTCTTAATTAGAAAGATTATGAACTGTAGTTTATGAAACTTAGTAGACTTTTATGAGATCGCTTGCTTCTTTGAATATGAATTACATAGACACTAGATAATATGTTCTGATTACTTGGAGCAAATTATATTTAAGTATATGATCTGTAAAGTGAATAATAATTCCTGATACCATATCCTCAGGATTCAAACGGAACTGGATAAATGTAGTGTATTTTTATCTTAGTTATCAAATGATTGGTGTCACTCCAGTCCTTCTAACCTATGTGAAGAGATCTACACTACCTTCGTTCCGCTTAGACAAACAGTTAACAGGTTTTTGTATAAGTTTCATTTCTTCAATTTCATCCACATTATTCTCATTGTAGCGGGTCAGTCTAAGTTGTGGTAGAGAAGATTCCTGATATTTTCTATGAATTAACAAAACTTCAGTCAAATCACGTTTTTTAACTACTAGTTCACTTTTTCCTTGTATGTAATGTATATTTTTAAACATCAATTTAAGGATTACGAATAAACATTTTGTGAATTTATACTAGTAAAAGTTGCCTAATGACTACTGTTTGGTTAATTTCATTACAGCTTGGAGTAGTAGCTCAATCAAATACTTCCTGTGATTTGAATCAAAGTTTTCCTCCACCACCAACTCCTGATTCAGAGCTAAGCATGTCATCTAAACATTCACTGTTGAATACACCAATGGGAAGTAATAGTATAATAACTGAAGCACCTGACTCAGTATGTTGGTCATTGGGAGATGATAATAGCAACTTATCCACACCGCATGATTCTCTTCATGCAATACATAATTTTGAAATAAATATTGATTTGGATTTGGATGGGAATAATGATCAGGTGAATTCCAACGGACGCACAGGATCAACTAATACTGATGTACGACATTCAACTAGTCCTAGATCACGTGGTACTACAAATTCTACTCATGATTTTACCAATGGCAGTCCCCAGACACCAATGAACGGTCCATTTGGAAAACCAAATCGTCGATTGTTAAATTTACAAGAGTACAAGAAACGTCATGGATTAATTTAATTCCTAATTGATATGCAAATATTGGTATTTTCCTTATTCAAACATACTATCATTTATTGCTATTTTTTCTATATGTGTATGATTAGTAGTCTTATCACACCGGTCGTTTAACTTCGTATTTGCATGTGTATGTATGTGTTGTATATAGACGTCTGTAAGCCCTTCCTTTATGCTTTACACCTTTTTTTGTGAAATGTACATAAGAGAAAAAAATTAATCGTAATTATCTCTTTATCAATTTGCCTCTTACATGAATGGATTTTGTAATAGCACTTGTAATTCGTCAGAGGGGTTCATGATCTCTGTTCATACGTTCAAGGAGACGTGTATATTATATGTATCGGATGTTGTCTTACCTTACGGGATATGTATCAACTAGTTGCTCTAGTTTAGAACCGAACACACTATTCTTTACCAATAGGTTGGAACATGCTACGAAATGTTTTACGTATCCATCAATTCGTGATAATTGTTTTGCTGTGTGGTTGAAATCGACGTATGTTTTATACAGTACAACAGTCTTTCTGTTTTAATCGGTATGATACTTTTTAACTAGTTCGGTGATGTGGTGTCCGAAATGTCATATTTTTAGAATAATTTTGCGCATAAATGTGAAAACTACATTCCTGTAGAATCATGTGTATTCTCAAATCTCAGTCTCAAGTTTTAAGCTTACGGCGGCCTGTTCAGACGTCTTAAGCCCTCTATTTTCTAACCGAGCGAATATTGTAATAAATTTTTTTGTTTAAACCGAATAATAATGAGTCCTAACTGTATGTACTAACGTGGATTTTGAAAGGCTTACAATTTATCACAATACTAAATACGGGAAATCTGTTACTGAGACGTTGCACTTCCTCGTTTACTCTTTGAAAAAATGTATTTAGATTCATGCGATTATTATCTGATATATGAATAAAATATAAGCTAGCTGTAAAATTTCATCATTGAAGATGAGTGGCAGATATGACTATTGGAAAAACATTTACTAAATATAATTTTTAAATAACTACAACTTGAATGTACGTTAAGAAGCGGTTGCCCCCAAATGCCGTAATACGGTAGAGAGTGGGGAGAGTTCACTCTCCCTCTCGAAATGCTCTCACATGGCCACGCGTATATAGCCTCTGTCAGGGAAGTCCTACTCACTGCCTTCTCGTGGCGGGGGTGTTACAAAATTAAGAGGACGAAAAGTGAGTGTCCGGCGCTTTAACTGGGTTGGTGGACATGGAGGATCCACCTAGAGTAGTTGGAAAACCCCGATTCCAAACCAATGGTGTACATGGGCTCCAGGATCCTGAGTGGAAAAATGGCATATGAACCAATTGTTTTCACCACCTACCATGGAACTGCATATCCTTACGGTCTCCACTGCCTTGTGGATCAGACCTTTTGGTCAAAGGCTCCTGGTGTGGCCCCCTAAGAAAATCACCTGCTTTGGTCTGGGCACCCGGGCAGTATCACAGCCCTCACAAATCTAATGAGATGACAATTATTTCACGAAATACTATTCTCGCTTCAATTAGAATCCAGACATTTCATATTCACACCATTCCTCTTTAACTTCGCCATCGATAACTTTCCGGAAACAGCTTTGATGGATGTAAGTAATGATGGTGTGGGTCTGTTGCCTACAGAAAGACTTCTCGACCTTGAGTATGCGGATAATATTGTCTTGCTGCGCGATAATACCCAAGCCATGCAATCAGCACTTAATCAGTTGGCAATTAGTGTCCGTAGGTATGGTATGTGCTTCGCACCTTCGCATACTTTTACAAGGCTGGGAGGACCGTGATCATGTACTCACCCTGGATGGTGAGCAGATAGAAGTAGTCGAGAAGTTCGTGTATTTGAGTAGCTGCATAAGTGCTGGTGGGGGTGTGAGTGATGAGATCAATGCACGTATAGTGAAAGCCAGAGCGACTTATGCCAGTCTGGGCCATCATTGGTGCTTTTGTGTTGTCAGTTTGGTTGTAAACGGTCGGATCTACAACGCGTCGGTGAGAGCAGTTTTGCTCTATGTGTTTGAAACCTGGCCTCTCCGAGTTGAGGATGTTAGACGATTCTCTATGCTTGATCATGGTTGTTTCCGAAGGATTGCTGACATCCAGTGGCAACACCATGTTAGTAATGCAGAGGTTCAGCATCGTGTGTTCGGACACCGAGACGATAATTCAATTGGTGTCACTATCTTGAAACATCGACTTCGGTGGCTTGGACATGTTCTACGAATGTCGTCCTAGAGAATTCCACGTCGTGCATTATTTGCCGATTCTGGGACTGGTTGGGAAATGTGGAGAGGTGGTCAGTGTATGACATGGTGTCGTGCAAAGGGTTGGCTTCTGTTGGTCCTTCATGACTCCGTAGCTGGGGTCCGAGAGATTATGCAACACAGTGGCTAGAGACGTTATCAGATATGGCTCAGAATAGAAGCCAGTGGCGATCCTGCTGTAACCTTCTTTTACTTTCTTCATAAAATGTGACCGTAACTCCTTTAACTGGAAGCATTTTTTCTGGTTTTACCTTTGCGTTTCCCCCATTATTATTATTATTATTTCACTATCGTACACTAATTTGTGGTCGTTAATATCCTTCTTTTCTTTTTATACACACTTTAAATTCTTCATATCTTCACATTCTCATTATTATTGTGTGGCGTGTATGCATCTGGTGCCCCCTTGTACCAATATTTATGTGTTCGAATAAATAAATAAAAAGAGGTTCATTGTAATATGGCACAATGGATATTGAGAATTTCTTGCTGTAACAAAATTTATAGTAATGGATAAAGCTTATAATGATAATAATAATAATAATAATAATACTAATAATAGAACTGCTCGTTTTCACTTCTAATGACATCGAAGTAAAGATATAAATTAGGTATCTTATTTATAATTTAACGACCGATTTGCTAAGGTTTAGTGTGCATATGTGCTATTATTCTTTAATAACCTCTTTAAACTTAGCAGTTATACTTTAAATGTGTGAGGAAAATACTAGTCACGTTTACGACACAGGTATTTTAAAAAATAATGAGAACAGTTTGTGGTTTGCACTTTTTCATAGATGTTTTATGGAATTTAACCGGTCAACCAGTAGAATAACTTTGAAATGTTAAATAGTTAATAAGGATTTAACTAAAAGGCAGTTTGTGTATTGCTAGAGATTGTCCGATAATTTTCATAGGCTATTCATCAATCACAATTGTATGAACGAAGAATATTCTTTCCAATAATTTCTCATCAGGTTCTACAATTGTAAATCCAGATTAATAATCCATAAAATTGGCCAGACTTAAGGCAAAATACATGATCATTTGGAAATTGTAATATGTGAATCAGGAATTGTTTGTTATATAAAAATAAAATCGTTAATGTTGGGGCTGATTAATATGAAGTGTTAACTTGAATCAGTTTATAAGCGAAATGAAATTGTGAGATAAATTATCAGAATAAATATGGTCAATATGGGGTAAGAGAGAGAGAGAATATTGTGATTACAAATCGGAAATTGCGTAATATGTGAAATAATTAGGTCAAATATAGTAGATTCAGGGGTGGATATTAAATAAATTCCTCAAAAAGGGTTTATCAAGTGTAAAGACGATAATAATAATAACAGTAATTGTTATGACCTTGGGTGTCTGGTTTTTCTATCACACGACTTATCTACCAATCCGAATACGACTTATACGAATCTTCACACTAGGCCAACCAATGACGTTCAACCGGTGTGGGCAGTTTAGCGTCCTTATTGGTCCTATGTCCTACGAGCCCTTCCACTTGAGTCCAGAACAAGATACCAGCTTCCGAATCAGAGCAGATCATTTATTTCAGACATACTTGGTTTATATATCAATCAGACAAACCGCAACGTACCATAAAATAGGAAATAATATTTGTACACAAATAAGCCCAAAAAGTGGCTGTGAATGTGGGAGGCAGTAGTTAATAAACTGAACATAACTTAAGAACCGTAAATCGTACAATAATGAATTAAAGGTCAAAATAAAGCTTGTAATAAGAGGAATATAAATATACATAATGTAATTGTTGAATAAGAATATTTATAGAATATTAGTCCATGAATAGTCCTTGGAAATTACCTGTAATTTAATCTTCACCGGATATAACACCTCCCCTTTTTTTGAAGCATTAGAGATAATAATGATCCTTAGGATTTATTTTTATTCGATTGGGTTTTCGTCTGATGCGCTGCGACCTCCTTGGGAGTGTTTCACACGTCTTGTTATTATTCGGATCATTTTTAATTTCATTATTCGACTCAGTTAATATATTTATTGGTATATTCGACTTTGTAGCATTTCTGTCTCTCGTTCTTGTCTGGTTGGCTGTATCTGGTTTGCATGTCTCACCCATATCTTTTTCCAACTTTTACTTCGTAGATAACTTTCCCTTTTTTTCGTATTATTATGCCAAACTTCCAAGTTGGCTTTACTCCCGTGAAATCTCTTGTTATTACCGCTTGTCCCACCTTAAACCTTCTGGGCAATGCACCGTGCCGCTTGTTGAATTGCTGTTCCATTCGTTTGTTCTTTCGGAGGTTGGCTCTAAGCTTTGGTTTCATTTGCTCCATAGGTATTCTAATCTTTCTCCCAAAAATTGCTTCTGCTGGGCTTTCTTGATTATTTGTTGTTGGGTTTGGTGTTGCTCGGTATGTTTGTAGAAATCTTTGAATCATCTCGTCTATTTCACCTTCTCCCTCGGCTTTAAGTAGCGCTCTTTTAAATGTATCTACGAACCTCTCGACTAGACCGTTTGACTGTGGATGATATGGGGGTGTCTTTATATGCCTAACAGCGTTGGCGGCGCAGAACTTCGAGAATTCAGCGGAGGTGAACTGTGGTCCATTATCGGATACTAATACATCTGGACACCCAAAACAGCTAAATACTTGTCTCAGTTTTTCAATAGTAGCTTTTGTAGAAAGAGACTTTACGTAGTGGATTTCTGGCCATTTTGAGAAAGCATCAACCATCACTAAGTACTGTTTTCCGTTTATGGGACCGGCGAAATCTACGTGTACTCTTGACCATGGATTTGTTGGTGTCCCCCAACTCTGCATTTCTGTCTTACGAG